ACACACACACACACACACACAGTATTCCCCGGAGGCCTGCCACGGACACAACAAAAGCCACGAGAAAGAGAGCAAGAGAGAGAGGCGGGGACTTTGAAAAGGTGGTGTGAGCTCCTGCAGCTTTGGGTGGTTCTGGGCTGTTCCCAGCTGAACCAGAACCCGCAGCTCTGCGGTCTGGAAGTCCGAGCCACAGAGGCACTGCTCTCTCTCTCCTTCTCCTTCTCTCCCTCCTTACCTCCATCCCTGGGGGATGCTGTCTTTCCTCTCCGGACATTCTCCCTCTTCCCTGCCTCTGCCAGTTTTGTCCCTTCCTCCCCCCCCACCACTCCGCCATCAGCCGGCCCGAGAACGCCGCGGAGCGAGTGAGCGAGCGGGCGGCGCTCTGTGGTTTCGCTTTACAAGGAGCCTCGCTGTGCAGAGGGCGATGGGGACGGGGGAATGGGGAATGGGACCGGTCTGGGGATCCGATAAGGCATGCCGCCTCTTTTCTGCGATTCAATGAAATAACGAGGTCTCCTTTAGCACCCTCGTAAAAGTCACAGACTCATAGTTCTGTCTAAAATACCAAAGGGTTCACAGATGAAGAACAATAACGATCATAAAGCATCTACTTAAGAAAATGATTAGTTCAAGTAAGCGTTAAAACCGGTAAGTGAGAGTGCAGGGAGGGGGAACGCTGGGGCAAAAGCTAATTGAAAATCTCTGTTTGACATTCCAGTAAAGAGACACGAATGAGGCTCTAACCTTGTTGTGGTTGTGCTGCCCTGAAGCACAGATAAAACGCCTGCCTTCCGAGATAAGCTGGATGTGTGCCGTGCAGAAATCACACCATGTTCCAGAAAGAGCGACAAAGTCTCTACAAGAACAGGGTTCTAACTGGATCTGGCCACCTGGCCTGTCTGGCCAATTCAGTTACTAATAACATATCGACCCAGGGAACCCATACAGCTTCTTAAAAGATCCCTATATGTTCTAAAAACATGACCCTCCACCCGTTGTATAAAGAAAACCCTCCTGTTTTCTAAAATAGTTTACGGGTTAAACTCAGTTCTCAGTGGGAACTCCATCATAAGACCTCTCTGCCTCTTTTAACAACTGACTTTTCTTTTAATCTTTTTTTTTGGGGGTTACAAATGCAGAACTCCCCTGTGACCCTGAATCGGAAGAAGCAGTTAGAAAAGGGATGGATTATATACCCCCGCAGTTTGGTACTGCCAATTACTTAGTGCTTGGCTGAAAGGTTACTTAGGTTACCATACTCACCCAGGAGAATGAGGACCATTCTGCTTATCTTGTCTCCCCACCTTCCAGAGTCCTGCTCCTTCTGGGACAAGAAGCTCGACCCCATGGCATGTGACAGGAGAGTTCGAACCAATCAGGAGGGCGGGCCTCACACGGACATCGCTCCAGGGCTGCGGGCTCTTGACGGGTCACAGGAGCAGCTCTTCCGACAGACGCTGAGAGATTCGTGCCCACTGTACCTCAGTGCTTGAGGGGTCCTGGTCACGGCCAGCGATGTGACCCCTGCTCGCACTCCTGGCACCTGCGCCTGTGGGACCATGCTCCTGGTGAGGGCTGGATGGGCGCTGTCTGCGGACTGACAGCTCATTTCAAGAGACCATGTGCGTGCGAATGGCTTTCCCAAGTGGCCCCAGTATCCCCACGCAACCAGCTCCCTGCCAGCACTCATAATCAGCTACAGCCAACCCCAGACGTTTACTAGGAATCCGAGACTCCGGCTTTTAAATATTTGCTGACTTGCAGTTAATTTTTCATATTTTTCAATGCCTTTTTAAAGCCCAGACACTCAAACCAAACCTACGTTCCAATTGGCTTTCTCCCCCAGGGTTCATCTTAAAATGAGATCTTTCCAGTGTTTGAATCGCTGGGTCTCTCCCAGCGTGGAAGTCTAATAAAGATTTGAAGAACCCAGCTGAAGGAAGATGGGCCAGTCACTAAATAATGAGTTTTCACGTCATTCCTGCCTTGACTCTTGCTGTTTGTTTTTGTCCTCTACGCACCTTGATAAACTGTGAGAAGGGAGATGTCTGTTTTTTTCGCTGTCGGCCCTCCTGCACAGGCTGGCCAGACATGCTTGACATCTCTAGAGTGATAGCTGCCGGGGAAGAAAATTCTGCGAAAGCAGTTTGCAGAAACCGAAGCAAATTAAAACTCTGAGCTTTTCCTTTTATATAAAAAAAATAAAACAGAAAAAAGAGCAATAATTAGAAACACTGTTGTGTGTTTCGCTTAGTAAAAATCCAGGCCTGTTAATTTTGATCGTGGAGGCTGCCTTGTTGTGGGCAAGAGTGAGGACAGATCAAGGGATCAGAGCAGCCAAGAGGAGAGAAGTGTCCCAGCAACTTGCCTTCATTTTCTGCCAGATTTTTGTTTGTTCCCTCTGTCTCTTCCTCTCTCTTTCTTTTTTTAACTCTATTTATTTTATTTAGATATAATTTGCTTCCTTTTCTTAAAGACTTTCTTGTTCCGTGTGTTGGGTGTGTGTGCGCGCGTTATGTGTTTGTGTAGCAGGGTGTGTGAAGGAGGGGGGAGGGGGTCTGGCAAAATCCTTAAAGATAAAAAAAACAGCAAAAGTTGTGTTTTTTTTTAAAGAAAAAGAAAAATAAGCTCCGTCGCCCTTCACAAGGGCACAAGAAAGGAGGGGGCTTTGAAGCTGGGGACGATAAAAATAACAACAGAGAAATTATGAAGCCCTGACATCACAGAGCTGTGTTTTCATCCCTCTGTTCTTTTCTTGCCTGATGGAGGGTTAAAATGAAATCCAGACTCATGAGAGGGTTATTGGGGGCTGGAGCTGGTGATAGAGGGGGGGGGTCTTTTTTGCATCTCACACTTTTAGGAGTTGACAGCTAATCTAATCAGATTTGAAAATGTACTTTCTGGCCATGGTCTGGCACCAAATACCTTAGCTTGTCAGATGGATTCCAGTTCTTTTTTTTTTTTTTTTTTTTTTACCACCAAACAGCAAAAGTAGGAAAAGCACAGATGGCTGTCCGGAGAGCTAAACAGTTCAGGAGTATATTGCATGTTTACAGCCTGGCTGGGGTGAAACAGGCCAGGGCAGAGCTGGCACTGCTAGGAGCCAGGGAGAGAGAAGGAACCCCCAGACACCTGCCCGCTGTCTCCCCCGGTGTGTCCCAGCGGTGTAATTGGTGTGCCGCTGCCCACAGACTGACAGCCCGAGCCAGGGATCTGACAGCAGCACTGGGGATAAACTAAGATGAGACCCGAAGAAGCAGAACTGGGGCTGAAGCCTGCGGTCGGGACAGGAGCGTTATTGCTGTGTGTCCCCGCCAGTCCTCCTGAGAGTAATCTGTGCGTCTGCGAGCCCATGAGGAAAAGAGCGAGTGGATCTCCGGGCTTCTTCACACCTCCAGGCAGATTCTGGTTACAGACCCATCCCATGAAACAGCACGGTTCACGAATTCACTTCGTTTAGAAAGGGGCTCGTTGTGGAGATGGTGCCTACTTGTTTATCAATGCTTCTCTTAGATGTTTATTGAATTATTTCTGTTTCTACCAGGTACACAGTGGTCAATATTCAGAAGTAGTTCAGATTGATCTATGGGAAGGGGGACAATATAAGACACGATATTCTGCGTGAAGGTGTTTAAGTGCAAGCAGAATTGTGGGATATACAGTATGACTCATAATGTATCTAGCATTGTGAAATGGTCAGAAGGAATTCGTTGTCACAGGGACTTGTGCATGCTGGTGGAAATACCACGGCCCTGAACGGTGTTTCTTGTCAGACAGACAGAGGTGCTTGCTCATGTTTGTGTTCCCACAGCGTGCGCCTTGCCCCGAGTGCGACAGACGCACAGAATGTGACTTGGTGACAGGGAAGGCAGGGTGGCAGCTGCCAGCACCCCTGACGACAGCCCATCACCAGGCGCCTGGGGCTCCTATTGCCATGGAAACCTTCGCAAGGACTGTTCCCACGGTAACAGCAGAACTTGGTGCTGAGTGCCGGAGCGATTGGAGCCTGTGGGGTGGGGGCTAGTGGAGGGGCTATAGTGGGGGCCCACTGGTGAGAGTTGGGGGGGTGGAGGGCAGAGGGGTGAGGGAACTGTATCTTATCCATGAGAGAGCCTCTCTGTTCTTACACTCAGGCTTATCCATCACTTAAACTAGTTTATCTCTCTTAAGGTATTTTGCTGAGCAGCACCTGGTCTGAGGAAAAGTCAGGGCGCTGGCGCTGGCGCTGGCTAGGTCAGTCACCGCGGTGCTGGACGACACGGACAAGTGGGGCCTTCACTGGGTAACCCCCACAGTCAGAGCAGGAAACCGGGGTTAGGGCTTGTTGTCTGATCTGTTGCGGTTTTCATTACAGCGCACAGCCCCAACGTGCAGCTGCAGCTCCAGCGCCGCAACATAGGGGACAGAAAGCACAGGCTCCCACACCTCACAGGTCCGGCTGCAGGTGCCGCAGCAGACCAACTTGCCCGCAGTGAGCATGGAGGCAGTGTAGAAAGCCTCCACTGTTCTTCAGGGGTGCTCGTTTTATTTTGGCCGTGCAATCGGTCATCTTTCTCATCACCCCGTGAGCCTGGGGCTCTCGGTGCTGAGCGGTGCCCCCAGCTGACGTAGAGAGAGAGATACTGCAGAAGGAGTCAGACACCCACCCAGAACCTACAGCACTACCACTCCACCAGAGCCGAGAAAGCCGGGGGGGAGAGGGTCGCTCTGCACGACCCACCCCAGGAGGACAGCGGCTCTGGCGCCGGACCGCCCAGTCAGACAGCGTCAGGTGTCTGGAGTGGTGAGAAAGGCCCGCACATTCCCTGCCCCTCTGGACGGAGAGGAGGAGGGGGGCTTCAGGAAACAGCAGGAGAGAGAGAGATCGAAAGAGAGAGTCGCCAAAAGGAAAGGAGGAAGGAGTTGTGAGAGAGAGAGAGGAGAGAGCGAGCAAGTGAAAGGGAGGGAGGCGAAAGCAGAGAGGGAGGGAGAGAGGAGGGGGGTGGGGAGGGGAAGGAGGGTCAGAGGGAGGGATTGTGGGAGGGAGCCAAAACTGGCAACTCTGCCAAAGTGCCCAAGAACAGTTTAGTCAGAATCTGGCTGCTAAATAATCTGTGACAGTGAGAACCATCGTCAAAGTGACCCACAGGGAGAGAGAGGGAGAGAGCAAGGGAGCGGATGAGAGAATCAGCTCAGGGCCACCACAGAAACGACAGGGGAGAAAGAGACAACAGAGGCAGAAAACGAGGCAGGGGGTCGGGGACAGAACTGGGCTGAATACCAGTTGAGATCGGAGGGGAACTGTCAGGCGCTGACCACAGTGCCAGGAGGCCAGGGAGTGGGCGGCTCGCTAAGAAAACCCAACAAAACTCAAAGACATGCAGAGACACAGGGAGAGAGGAGGGCACTGAGGGACACAGAGACGGGAGAGAGCGTGAAACACAGAGAAAGAGCCAGGGAGCTGAATCGCGAAGGAGAGAGGGGGGCAGGAGAGAAAGACCGCCCGAGAGAGCAAGGACCCCCGCAGGGTCCCTGGTCTTGGATGGTGAGACGAGAGAAGGAGCGGCTCAGTCTGGTGGTCAGAGCCCTGCGCCACACCGGGAGGCAGCGGCCAGCAGCCCCTGGGCTCCACGGACCATCGAGTCTCCCATCCGCGGGTCACCTGCCGGAGCAGGACAGGTGCGGCGCAGGCATGAAGAGACCCCACGACTACAGCTCCCCCGAGACCGACCCCGACGAGCTCATCGATGTGGGACAGGAGGACTGCTACTGGTGAGGAGCAAACCTTCACACGAAAGGCTCAGAGCAGAAAGATGCCCTTTGTAATTGCTTAGATCAGTACTTTACCCTTGGGTTATGTTGAGGTTACACTGCATTTATTCTCAGCTTTTCTCAAAGGGGCCATGTTCAGAAATACTTTCTGCTATGCTAGGGTTGTGGACTTCCGGTGTTTCTATAAATGGGTTTTTAAATTCCTTCACCCAGGAATCCAGTGGCTGTCAGTAACACCTTCACAGCTGTAGCCCGTGAACTGGTTGTGACAGTAGCTGTTGTCCTGCATGCCGCTGGGATCTGCAGGGTGACACAGCCCCCAGAAGAATCTCTGTCCAGGCTGATGCGCCAGCTGTACCATTCCTTTCAGCAGAAACGCTTCCAGCAGAAATCCTCACAGTCATTCTGTTTCAAGGTTCAGTCACCTGAACAAATGTAAAACCCCAAACCATCCTTTAAAAGTTAAAGAATCCCCTGGGGGTAATTCACTGTTTGTTAGCACTCAACTAAAGTGAAGTGGGATTTTAAAACGCATTAACTACATCGTGTTTCTTATTATATTTTTCAAGTCAACCTCTTTTTGGACTGTAAATCAACTCCTTGACATTGTCTGTGCTGTTGAGGTGATCTCTCGTGTTAGCATCTTGTTCCAGTTAGAATCAGGCACTGACTCCTTCGATTTGGACAGCTCTCCTGTGAATGTGCGGAATGGCCGAGGTCTAAACCTGTCCCTGTATCTGCTGTCTCTGCTGGTGGTTTGGGATCTTTTCAGCTCTTTAGTGAGCAGCTGATCTAACAGATGAACTAGTGTCTAATTATGGGTGAGAACTGTATCTGTATGATTCACTTTGTGCCAAAATCATAGTCACTCACCTAACTATCACCTCAGCTCAATTACAGTACTAATGCAGTGATTCCAGCAGGCCGTTGCATCCAAAGAGGCAACTAGCTGTTTGTTTCAATGTTTTTGTAGCTGTTAGCTTTCGTTTCATGTCAGGGTAGCCTGGAGCCTCTAACTGGAATCACAGAGTGAGAGGCAGGATTACACCCTGGACAGGACACCAGCGCATCACAGATGTACCCGCAAGTTCAGAAAATTATTTGGGTTTTGAGTGAAGGAAAAAAGAGCTCTCTCTTTAGTGCATCCTCTATGAGGGACCCATTATTAGTGAGCAAAGGCTGATCTGAACAACAAGCATTCGGTGTAAGACAATTCCAATAATGTAAGCAGGAACATACAGTAGTAACTGTTTTTCAAATATGGGCAACACAGTTTGTTTTGAGCACATCACCAGTACCCGGCTTCGTTAACCTGACAAATAGCCATCTGAGCCCCGGCAGAGGTTGCTCACTGAGAGATTGCTGCATCAGAACGGTCTTGTATTTTGAAGTTTGTCTCTTGCAGTTTAGATTCCTCAGGCTGTGCCTCTTCAGAGAACGGCAAGTGTGTGATTGTATACAGTACATAGGTCCTTTTCAAAGAGAAGTATACTTGTGGCTTCAGTTCATTCGCAGAGATTTCAAGAATAATACTATTTCTGTCCTTTGCCTGGAGGTACTGTGGCCACGTTTTTGCTAGAAGGGAAGAGACTCCGATAAAAGACTAAACTATCAAAGAGCCTGTGGGACGTCTGCAGTTCTGTTACTGTAGGTTCCTGTGCCCTGATACGCACTGTTTGGCTGAGAAAAATCTAGAAAAAATACATACTTGTTTGCTTGTCGGTTTAAACAATCAAAAATAACTGAAATTTAAATATACCACTCCACATGAATTCTGAAGCCAAAAAGGCTGTGACTGAAGTATTCAGAGAAAGGAGATGTATACATGAATAGTAAAATATGTGAAGAATATCAAAAAGCAAAATTCTCATTTGTTGAGGTGTAGCTGAAATTTAAGATTCAACGTTTGTGCTGTATTTTGTTACTATAAATTGTTATATATTGTTTATATGCTAAAAATAATTAATATAATTCATTTATATAAATTCATTTTTCTTGAATACGCGCTTCTCTATTTCTGCAAATAATTATGCTGTTGCGTTCTGCAGTGCAGAGATCCATGTGCTTCATTCTGAGAGGGGATTTCATGAAAATATAATTGGAAACACTTTTCTTCATGTGAGATAGAGGAAAAACGTTTAATTTTTCCTTTTGTAGAAAGGGGCAGTTTTAGAAAACACTTTATACTAGGGTTACAATTTCTATTAGAATAAGATTTCTGCTTCGTTGCAATAAAATCAATATATTAATCAATTACTCGTTTACTTACGTTTTATGCCAAACATCTGATGGAAAACAGGACTTAATTTTCTTGCTTTGACAATCCCAAAGATTGCAGGCTCTGTGCTGCTAAAGAAAACATATTGAGTATTCTCTCACCAATACCCCTGAAACATTGAGGACCTATGTTCTCCATCTTTTTGTGTATCTTTTGTGTCAACTTTTTTTTTTCTTTAGGGTTTTTAAAATCAGACAGACTTCAGAAAGCATTTGCAGTGACACTTCTGCTGGCAGAGCTGTGTTGCTGTGGTCAAAGAGTTTGAAATTGTGACATGCACGGTTTTAAACTTCATTGTGCTGTATTTGATCAAGTTTGCAATGTGGTGTTTTTGACTTGAGTTAGAGTATCATTGTCAGCAGCATCAGCCACACGAAAACTAAAACAATGTTTAGCATTAGTTCCATTTTTCTGAGTGGAAACTATGCATTTTGCTGTGTGGTTGTTCAGTATAAAATGATGCTGAATGAAGTGACCAGATAGTCTCCTTTCTAAAGAAGGTTTTGCATGTTGGAGAAGAGGAGTAGGGAGTCACATTGATGCTTCAGTTCGTGGTTTGAAACTTTATCATGTTGAACAACAGAGTTGGCAAATGCTTCATCCAGAAATATATTTGTTATATACAAACATCTATAGATGTATCTCTATTATACAGAAAAATAAATATTTAATAAAAATTGTGTTGCATGATTTAACCTTAAATATTGATGTGCTTTTAATTAAATAATCTTTTATGTCTCTCAAGTGTCCGCAAATAATGACAATTTCAGCTGTAGAAAAGATGTTTTTTTAGTCGAGACTGGTTTTTAATTTTAACATTCGTGATGCAACTGAGCTTGTGGTAGTTCTTGAACATCTTCAGCTTTTTACACGGATCTCCTGTCTGAACTGTTTCAGGGCTTTGTGATGGGGACTGTCATCAAGACAACCGTTTCAGCTTCTGTCTTCTGCTGACAGGGCTTCATGAGACTTGCAAGGGATTGTGGGACAGGGATGAGTGAAATGAGGGCTGACAATATCTCGAGATCTCAGGGCTGTGCGGCTGTGAATCTCAAGCAGGGCTGTGTGGCAGGGGCAGGGGGAGCCAAGCTTGTCCGAAGAGCGGGAGGCAGACCGTCGTCTCTCCCACATTGTGGCTCGTGAGCTTCGGGGGGCTGGGGCAGAGCTGAAACAGGCTGTAGACATCTCACGTCTCAAAGCCGGGTCCACAGAGAATCCAGCATTCCCATGGGATGATCCCCAAAGGCACTGGCAGATTTTACAAACTCTGCATGACTGGAGAGCCTATGCAAAGAGGCATGGTTTTGATTCTTGCACTAATAAAGTGCATTCTGGAGCATCCACACATACTGTACCTAGACACAACCACAAGCCCTCCTAACCCTCAGCCCCACCCCAGCCCCTCCTGTAAGAGATCCTGCAACCAGCCTTCACCCTGACCATAGTCTAACCATATCTGCAGTGGTCACTGCAGTGGTCAAGCCTGAGGCTCAGGCCCTAACCTCGACACGCATTACAGCAACCACTTCAGTTTTCACAGTGGTGTGCAGCTCTGGAACCACCTCTTTCGAGAGAGTATCTTTGAGAGCACAGAGACGGTATCTTCTTTCTTCGTTATTAGAGGCAGGTGTCTTGCGAACAGTATGTCCTGTAGCTCTGATGCTGGAATTTCTCCTTCTGTCTGCGCAGCCCAGTGACCGGCTCCATGTCCCCTGGCAGTACCTCACAGATCCTGGCACGCAAGAAACGCAGAGGGGTGAGTGATCGGTTCCTCAAATCCCAAAGACCCGGTTTCATGGATCAGCCACACAACAACGGAAAGAAAGCAGCCGAGAATGGGAGCGGAGTGGACTGAGAAAAATGTACTCACTCAAAATAGACACATTCACCAAATCTGACACAGACCACCACAAATTGCTGGTCCTGTTCTGCCGCTCACAAATGCTAAAATTCTCGGGGACAGAAACATCTGAAGGTTCTCTCGTCTGCGGTTTTCCAGAGAGGGTCGTTTCCTGCCCGTCTGGCGGTGCTGTTGGCCTGCCGTCTCAATCTTTCTTGTTTTTTTATTCCAGATCATTGAGAAGAGACGGAGGGATCGGATCAATCACAGCCTGTCGGAGCTCAGGCGCCTTGTTCCCAGCGCTTTCGAGAAACAGGTACCAGTCTGACCAGGTCCCATGATTCAATGCCATGTTCACCGCAGAGTCTACAGTCAATCTGAATACAGTTCACTCAGCCCACATGCACATTTAGCTGGAAAATTACAGCATACTGGGGATCTAGTTTGGTGCGATACTGACTAGTGAGACTATTTTAAAAAAAAAATCTCAGGAAAGCATGGTTAATGAAAGGTTAAACAGTGCAAAACCTTGATGAGAATGTTAAATGGTAAAATTCAAAAGTGATGCATACACCCAAAAATTGAAGAAATGCAGGTTCACAGGGCCAAAGACTCAATTTGGGGAAGGAAAGTCAATAAAACCGCACTCCAAAAACAAAGGAATAATTAAATTCAACTTTGATTCGTTTGGTACAAATCACATATGGTTTGAGACAAGAGATGCCTTTCAATGGATTTGGTTAAGCAAAAACACTGGAGTGTGTGTCTGTGTGTTCGCGTTCAAACGTTCAGAACTGCGGCACAGATTTACCATGAAACCATGTCCACATGCACGAGCGTGCTGAGCCCCTCTCTGCCCCCAGGGCTCCTCCAAGCTGGAGAAGGCCGAGATCCTGCAGATGACAGTGGATCACCTCAAGCTCCTCCACGCAATGGGAGGAAAAGGTGAGGCCAGCTCCCTCCCTCTTTCTCCCCCTCGTCTCCCCCCACCGCCCCCGCTGTTTCCTCTCCCACCTTCTTCTGCTGCCTCCTCCCTCCCTGTGTCTGTCCCTGTCCCTCTCCCCCTCCACCTGCCCCTGCTCGTTTACTCTCACCCCCCACCCCCCTCCCAGCACACCCTCTCCGTCTGGAAACCTTCACAAAACCTCAACCTGGGCGGTAAAGGCAGAATTAAAATGTTACCACGCCTCTCTTTAGTGCCTGTTTCTGCAGCTTTAAAACTCCTCCACCTGTTGAGGCAGCCAGGGGCTGCTGTGCTCTTTAAGCCCAGTTGCTTCGTCCAGTAGCCCCAGCCCCCCTGGGGACCCAGGGGTTAAATGCTGTGCAGTGCGTGTGAGTCCATGCCTGTGTGTCCAGCCCTGCATGCCTGCGATTCTGTGTGTGTGTGAGTGAGACCGTCTGTAATACAAACCCCAATTACATCATCATAAACTTAAACAAGTGTTTTTGTCTCCCCTTGAATGGGGCAGCTCATGAGAACAGAACGGCCAGCGCGTTCTCAGAGGAAGAGCAAACACAGCAGGCCCAGGAGCAGGGAGAGAGAGACGCAGGGGGACGGGGTGGGAGAGGTGAGAGAAAGGGAGGCTGGAGCGAATAGAAAGATAGAGACTGCCCTGCGAAGGCAGATTCAACCACCATCTCAGCCTAGTTGACTTAAATGGTCCTGACTTTTAGAGAACTGGAATGTTGTTGATGGACCAGAGACTCCCGTCTGGAGCTTAAAAAGCAGCACTTGTCCTAGTGATTCCATTCAGACTTTTGTGACTCTCTGCGCCTCTCCCTGGCAGGGTACTTCGATGCCCGGGCTCTGGCAGTGGACTACAGGACCCTGGGTTTCCGGGAGTGTGTGGGCGAGGTGGTGCGATACCTGAGCTCGCTGGAGGGGCTGGAGACCCCCGACCCCATCGCTGCCCGCCTGGTCTCCCACCTCAGCCACTGCGCCAGCGAGCTGGACCCCCTGCTCCAGAGCCCCGCTGCCCTGCCCTTCCCCCCGTGGTCCTGGGCTATCCCCCAGCTCTCCCCTGCCTCCTCCCCCCATTTCCCCAGGGCTGTGGCTGACGTACGGCTCTCTCGCCGGGAAATTCTGGCGCCTGGTGTCGCCCTGCTGGGCACCTACCCCTCCCCTAACTTCCACCCTGCTCCCATTGGCTGCCTGCCGGCCAATCAGCAGGCTGCAGCGCTGACACCCACCCTGGCCTCCCCAGCGCTGTGCAGGGTGCCCTCCCGCCCCTCCCTGGGGCCCAGACTGTCCCAGGCCTGCCCAGACGGCCATGCCACCTCCCCTCTCCTCGCCCCCGCGGCTCCAGCTGCTCCCGCAGCCCCCCAAATGTCTTTCAGGCCCTTCGCCCCGTTCCCAGCCTCCCCAGCCACCCCCCAGCGGGCAGGCACCAGCAACCCGGGCAAAGCCGCTCGTTCCTGGGGCACCGAGATCGGCGCCTTCTGACTCCCCGCCGCCAGGCCCGGAGCCCGGCGCCCGCCCTGAGCCAGCGGAGGCGCTGCTTGACCCGAGACCCAGCAGCCAAGGTAGGGGACGGACACGACAGACAGCACCCTCCTTCCTCCTCCTCTGACCAGGCCGCAGCCGGGACCTGCCTTCGCACCGAACTCTACCAGAGCCGAGGGCGGCTCGAACACGAGCCTAAACACTCCGGCAAACACGGGACCTGCCACACCAGATAACCGCACACGATTCCCGGGATTTTGCACCCTGGGGAAAGAAAACAAAGAAGATTCCTAAACTGGGCGCCTGGGACTGGGAGACCTGGAGAAGAGCCGCAGAGTAAGACTGTTCAGCCTAATACGCCTCAGCCGTCCTCTACCGCGACAGTCCGCCAAGCTGGGAGACTGGCAGGAAGACAGTCTCACTGCAGGGAGGTGATGACAAGCCTTCCCCTTCGCACTGCCCAGGTGAAGGGACAGCGGAAGAGGGTTGGACCTGGTGCCGGAAATGAAAGGGCTGTACAGGACATCCTAAAATCACCGGTCTCCGGAGACCTGAAACTGTTTACAGCTTGTTTAACGAGGACATTTTTAGGGACCCTTGGAATAAAGGAGTGAGAGTTTCCGTGACCAGAGCGGTCTGCTCCTGACTAAGTGAGCGCGCTGCCTGGTAAAGTGATCAGGAAGCTGACTGTACAATAGCTGGTGGAGGCCGCTGCGCTGTGGCTGTCCAGCCCTGCTCTGTCCAGCCCTGCTCTGTCCAGCCCTGCTCTGTCCAGCCCTGCGGACACAGACACACAGTTCTTTCCCCATCCTGGCTGCAGCCAGGTCCCCCTGTTCACTACAGTCTGTTTGTTGTTTCATAGCTCCTGTTCTTAAGTGTTTTTGTGTGTTTTTATATATTTTTTTTAAAAAACAATTTTTACAGCTTTTACATATTTCTGCAGCGTTTTTAAAGAAAAAAAAAGTGTGTTGTAATGTGTTGTAATGCTGGAGAGGGTTGTTTGGCGTGGAGGGAGGTGGTTGTAAATAATGTCAAAAACAAAAACATCAGTTTTAAAAAAAACAAAACAAAAAAAAGTCAGTCTGTGTTTGTTGTTGTTGAAGTCCTATGTGAGTGAGAGTGTGAGCCTGAGAGAACAGTATGATTTCAGGAAATACGCGTTTGTGGGGGATATTTGATCGCCTGTGTATTTCTGCAAAATAGTATACTCCCCAACCTTACCACGAGAGGGCGCCAGATTTCTAGCAAAACTGTCAGACAACTCCCAACGCCGGCTCTCAACGCTTCCTCATTCAAGTCCTCGTGATTTCCGCTTGATTATTCTTGATTATTTCAGTGAACCCCTGATTAAACCTCATTTGAATTGGTTTCAGTCCTGGCACTATCAAGAGATCTTAGTTTATTTCTAAAATATCAAAGGTGGCTTTCATGCCATTAGGAGTGAAAATAAATCAATATGGGGGGTCTTTAGGTAATTAAACCACTTGCTCATTTACGGATTTGATCTAAGCAACTGTGAAAAGGAAACCTGGGTTATGACAATCCAAGTCCTGTGCTAGGATCTAGAATGCCTCCATAGGACACAGCAAGGCTCCATATTCACCAGCCATAGACGTCTATATTCTGGGAAAATAATTACCTAATAACGAACACCAGGCACGTCTGGACTGGAATAAGACTGACAAACCAGGGAAATCACATTAAGGCAAAACAGTTTCAGGTCAAATAAGAACGATAATAAGACGCTTTAGAAGCAAGGGGAGGTCAGTCTGAGCCTTCTGATTTGGGCCCTGGTGAAAAATCAGCTCCAGACTCTTGTCCTGCTGCATCTTCAGGGATCCCAGGTCCTGGGCTTCAGCCCAGTCTTCTTCTGATCCATGTTAAAACTGGGAAAGGGAGCCTTGTCAACAGCCAACAGCCACTGAGGTGCTGAGCTGCAGTCCTGCAGAGCCACAGGGTCTGAGGGCCCACTCCATGCCTGATCTCTACCACCTGACTGAGCCAGTGACCATCCTACGTGGATCCACTCTGCAATGCAGAACAGAACCATGAAGGAAAGGCTGTGGCTGAGAGAAGGCCATGTGACCCATGTTGCCTGTGGGGTAGTTTAGTACAACAGTGAATCTAAAACATCTCCAGCCATTTCTTAAAAGAGCCCAGATTTCATTGTCCAGAGGGAAGCCTGTTTCAGACAACCGCCACTCTCTGGGCAAAAACCTGTTTCTTGTTCTCAGTCCTAAATGAAACTTTTATTTCCAGTTGTGACCCAATGTTCTTATTTCAATGCTATATAGTTCCCTGGGTTGACCCTATATGTACCTCTTAGCATCTTCTATATTATGAGCAAATCCCCTGTCATTCTCCTGTGCTCTAGATCGAAGAGAATTACCTCCTTTAACTTGTCTGTATATGACAAGCATAGCTAGTTTGTTTTTTAGTAGCTAATTGATCCAAGGATGTATTTCACCTGGTTTTGAACTAACTTTTGAACTCTTTATAATATCTTTTTGTGGTACGGTATGCTGACCAAAACTGAACACAATATTTTAATGGAGGTCTTCCTAGTGCATGAAAACCAAAAGCACAACTTTCTCTGATTTGCTTTCCACATATTTTGCTATATTCCTGCTACATTCTGCTGGCTGCTTCATTTCTCCCTCACATTGTCTTCATGAGGACATGGAAGAATCGACATGGACACACAGACCCCTTTCATGCACAGCCTCCTGATTCACAGTCACCCTTTGATGTGTATAGTCTGGATCCCCATGCACGTATCAATGTGAAACTTCATTCACCACGTTTCTGCCCAATCCATGACTTACACGAAGTATCTTTGCAATCCCCTTGACACTGTGATTTCCATAACTTTTCTGATATAAGACATAAGGGTGATTGGTCTAGTGTTTCAATCTTTGTGTGTAGATTTTTCAAGGGTGCTCTGCTTCCGATGGCTTGAAGAGACTGTCTTTGATGCCTTCAGACTAAGGATCACTTCTTCTTGGCTGATCAGAACTGGCTACCTGACAGAGATCTGCAACTTGCAGGCATGCAGGACCAGGGTTTCAGTCCAGATCGGCTCTTAGTGAGTTAAATGGGTTTGCTATGAGTGAACTAAACAGCTTCTTCCAGCTCTTCAGGTGCTGGCACTGCAAAAGGCCATTGAAGAACCTCCAGTTCCACTTCCAGCCCAGCAGTGCTGTGTGCCTCAGAAGGTCTCACTGTTGACGAAACGATAGGGCAGCAGCCCAGAGAGTGGGGTGTTAATTTAATCATTTCCTACAGCTCACGTTGATCCTAATTTTGGAAGTGTATTTAAAACTGAAAGCAGGAGGCACTTCTGTCCCCAAAGAGTTGTTGGAGTCTGGAAGAAGCTGCCCAGCCATGTTGTTAAAGCTGATCCCCTGTTCTCTTTTAACCTATGGCTGGATGAGATCCTTAAATCACTTAAATGCTAACTACCAAATGAGCTGGCTGAGGTGAACAGCCTCCTGTCGATTAGAACTTTGTGTTCTTATGTTCTCACTCGGTTCCGGAGCATACCGTGAGAATTAAGACTAAAGCACCCGCAGAGCTCACTGGAAAAGCCTATTCTTGTGAGCATACTCGAGCACATGAAGCACTGCATGCCCTTTCATTGAGTCAGACGTGTAATTATGCAATTTGAACTAAAACGAGCGTGCACTGTCCCTTTGTGAGCCATGCACAGTGACGGACCTCTGCACATTCATTCGTTTGTTTGTTTTATTTTAATGTTCCCCTCGTCGGATAAGTAGAGGCTGACTGCAATATATGTAGTAACTGCGAGTTAATTACATGTTATTAAATGCAAAATAAATCACTGTTTCCCTCTCTGCAGCTCTGACAGGCCTGAAACCCAGCAGTGAGCATTGTCCTGTGGAGCTGCTTGTTTTTGTATGCCTCATATAAAATGTTTACTATAGTATACCATGGTCTGGGACAGGCCAATATGTAGTAAACCAGGAGAAAAGAGACAAAAAGTCACAGAGAAGTCTTCTAAAAACCGTGGGAACCAATAAGGGTGTATTGTACACTGGTGCAAAAGTTGAAAATACCACTCAGTTTCACTGTGGTGACCTTTCAGTGTGGCATTTCTGCAGAGCTGGTAAATTCATTCAAAACATTCATCCTCCTTTCCTTTTTATTCCCCTTCTGTATTTTTAAAATGTTAAATAAGGAAACACGTCCCCTGTTGCTCCTCTTTGAGCAGCAGCTCGACACAGGCGCTGGCTCCTCCTGTGCTCGATGGACTTCACTGTCCAGTGGGGGCTGCCCAGTGTCTTCACCTCCTCAAAGGCAGCTTGAAGTGCATCCGAGGCACCTCCTGACTGCCGCCTCAGCCTGCTTCGACCCCAGCCTCGTCCCAGCAGGGTGTCCCATTGCAAAGGACACAGGAATACGTCATGCTACACCACCAGAGAGGAATTCGTCCAGGGCTGCTTCCTGGAAACTAAGGGACACTTTTCAACCTAGAAAGGAAAAGCACTTCTCTATTTACAGTGGGTGTGTTGACCTGCGGTCTCCCTTGGGTTATTTTAGAACTGACATTCTCATTATTACTGATCATAGAATCATGATATTTCAACTCTATTAAAAGAGTTCTGTTGACGTATCCCTCAGCTGAAGAGATTTTGAGAAACCCCTCTAGAGACCCTCGTAGTAATACAGACACTGTAATCAACAGGGGTCAAAGGTGATGCTAGAGTTCAGGGCGAGCATGGGGCGCTATTCTTAGACGTCTAATGATGGAGCCTGTCAAAACCAAGTTCGTGCAACTGGACCACAGCGTGCATGTCTTTATTTTTTTTTGTTATCTGTGCATGTGTCTGGGAGCATTCCTGTGTGCAGCAATGTCTCAGCCATTGTGTGTCTGCGTATGCTTGAGGGAGGGTGTGTCTGCCTGTCTGCATTCTTGTGCCCTTGTAGCCGAACGGCGAAAGCTTGGTGAGCGTTTGCAGAGACCATGCGCGTATTTTTAAACACGCAGAAACTAAACTGCTCTGTGATTGCAGAGCTACCAATAAAGAACCGATTTGTTTTGAAAAAAACAAAATCCCAGTCTGTGGCAATACAATTTTGTTTGTTTGTTTTTTCTCTCTTTTTCTTCTGTTTCAAATTAAGCCGCTCTCATGCAATACGTGATTCCAGGGCTTTGTCACCAGTCGGGCACCTGGCGTTATGAAACGTGACGTTTGTGCCCTTCGGATGAGGTGGGTCTTCAGTGTGTTGCTGTGCTTCTCCCTCGGCTCCACCTGCGCCTCTCCGTGCCACCCTGCCACCTCCACTGTCCTCCTGGCAGCTGGGTCTTTAAGGGGCAGGGGAGATGTGCGCTGGCAGGCAGACAGCGCCAGGGGCCTCTTCCCCGGACTCTCGTGCGAGCGGCGTGCGGAATATTTAAAGAGTTCTCGGAGGCTGGCATTTTCTTGGCGGCGGAGACAGTGAGGGGTACCACAGCTTCCAGGAAGGGCGACCACAATTCCACAAGACAGGCATTCCCACGGGGAGGGGCCCAGCCTGCACAGCACAGCCCGGGAGACCTGCAGCAGCCTGCAGCGGCACACTCACTCACACACGCTCCAGCCCTTCCTGAGCCGTGACGCAGGCAGCTGCAGCATGCAGACAGACGGACACGTAGACATTCGCTCTCGGCCGGCACGGTCTGCGTTACTGCAAAGGTTCTGAGACCTCCGCACACTGTTATCCTCACTTGCTGAGACGGCGCCAGCTCAGATCCTGGATTACAGCTGATGAGAGTAGACACAGATGGAACACGTACAAAGACAAAGATGGATTTTTCCATCTCGTTTGTTTTTTTTCTTTTCGAAAGGCGAAATTTCACTTCAGCAATAGAAATTCAACTGCGCTGCTGTGTCCCATCACCCTTTGAAAAAAAAAAGCCGCAGCTGGTTTTTGCTCGCACGGTATTGAGTCACCAATACTTCACGTTCTCAGTCCTCTTGCACGCAGCCCCCACTGGACTGGACATGGCTCCCAGCAGCCCCCGGGAGAGGCGAAGGTCTGGGCCAGGGAGGGGCGGAGGTGGCGCGCACACACACACACAAATACACACGTTGTCCAAGAGGAGCTCATGTGGACTGACTTCACTGTGATCCTGGAAATGGAAATGCGGGCCTTCAGGGGGTTGGGAAGGATGGGCAATGGCGCCACAGTGAGCTCCTGGTAAATTCTGAGATGAGGCACGGGCAGAGGGGCAGAAGGGTATTTCCTGCTTCTCCCCTCACTGCCCTAGGCATGCATGGGCAGCCTGAGTACCACACTGCTGACCCAGGTGAAACATACAGTAATAGGATGTTGAACCAAAACTATCCATGTAGACCACATAACCTTTGTCTCTCAGCATGCTGTCTGCTTCACTCAGCAGTACCTGAAGCTTATATTAGGAATCAAAGGAACAAGTAATAGGTTTAATAGGTAATAGGTTCTCTTTTCAGCATGGAATAAACCTATTACTTGTTCCTTTGAAGCCTATGCATGCTGACGGAGCTACCCACCTGAACTAGTCAGTTTCCATTCCCTGAGTCCTCAGTGTCTTCTAGATTCTCTTCCATCTGAGGTCTCAGTTACACTAAAATGCATAATTAAATTAAATGCATAATTGAAGTATTCTAAACCTTAATGAAGTGAATATTTCCAGCAATAAGCTGTAAAAGACCTTAAGAAAAATCCTATTTACATCTAAGACAATAATTATCTTAATTGTTTAATTGACTGCTCAGTTTGGAACAGAGACCTCTGGGGTTTGGGTTGGAGAACTGTGGCTTACAGTTCTGTGGTACACTCAGTAATCCAGCTGTTTTATAGAAATACCAGTGGCAAATTGCACTGATGTTCTGTGAAGGATGGAAACTCCTGCACAGCGCAGCCCAGCAGTGATCTCTCGCGTCCAAACCCACAGAAAAGCCAGGGCAGCGGGAGGCTGAGATACACTGCCCCCTTGCGGAGAAAGGCGGTCTCTGTGTGAACGAGCTCTGAACTGTTTTTTTTGTTACAGTAGTAAATGTGTTCATGCAGTATTTGTTTCCGTTATTTATTTTGTTGTGACCATAGTTTATTCTGCAACGGAGAGAAAATAGAATATATATATTTTAAAATCCACTTAAAAGAAGTCAGAAAATCGGAAAGTATTGTAACGCAACGGGGGCTCAGGCGGGCGCCCTTGCCGCATCAGGTCGGCCCCATCCCGACTGAGGCTCGAACCCGGGACTTCCGCGTCTCTCTGCAGCGACCCAGCCCCGTGAGCTAAAAAACAGATTTCTCTCCAGCCCAGTAGCTGTAGTCTTTTTTTTATTTTTTTTTATTTTTTTTTCCCAGTAGCTGTAGTCCTGCTATCACAGGGAAGGGCGGTGACGTCACCTGCTCTGGTACGCCGGCTCTTACACAGTGCCTGTCGGCCGTAAGCGTTATAGTACTATATCTTTCTATCAATATCCCTTTGTAAATCAAATCAGAAATCGAACGTATCCTTCGTGTGCCAGACAATGAGAAATTGCCATTTATATATACAGTATATATATATATCATAGCATGACTAAAGCATTCTTTTAGCTATCGACCTGTACTTTCAGCATTCTGCATGATAGCCAGTTTGTTGCTTTAGCAAAATAGAAGGAGACTATTAGTCACTCTAATAGTGACAAAGCACGTTAGTCACTCTACAGTAAACGTTTCTGAGACGATCAACACCCGTGAACTCTTGGGTTTAAAGTGTGAATAGTATTTGTATTTTCTTTCATATTATTTAAGAAGGAGTTTAATGATTTATTTCAGACTGGCACTGTCCTTTGCGTTGTCGTGGTTGTTTAATAATCAGACTAATAATTAGCGAAACTCACTGGAACGGCGAGTCAGCACATGTGCGTCCTGGCTAAATATTAAAACTGCAGTCGCTCAGAAGTCCCTCCCCCTCACCAGAGCTTACTTGAAAGAGTTCGGAATGAGTTCATCTATAATTTCACTGTACACTGTATCTTATTAGGAGACATATTTCCACTTGGTTGGGTTGAATAAAATAACCCCCTATCTTGATATTTAATATTAGAGTGTGTAACATACTGTACTGTCGCCCGCTGCTCCATAGCCATTTTCAGGCGACTCCCTGTCTCACAAACCCATATTAATTCTAATAGACCCAATACTGACGGGAGTAAAGATTTCAAATGAAATTTCAGAGATGGTCTTGGGGCTAAGAAAAGTAACAGACACAAAATGGGCTATTCACCAAAATGGACTCAGTTAGAAGCGTTTTAACTAAAGCGGAAGAACTGCAAATCTACGCAGACAGGAGCCTTAAATGTCCCGAGTTTTCACAGCTCTGCGGTCCGGAGCGCCTTTGAAAGGGTGTTGTAGCACAAGGTAAAAAGCACCTTAAAGTACATTAAAGCAAAATGTTACGCTATGATACAATCTGACACGCATGTTTCCGCGGTGGAGGATGTGCTGTATTTTATTTTCCGCCTGTGTATTTTTATTATATTTTCCTTGTCTCCGTTTTAAGTGCACCTGTGCACGATGTAGTTTCCACCTGTCTTCAGGTTTGTGTTTCATTGTCCACTTCGAAGAAGTCCACTGTGTTGACTTTAACAGTGCCTTTGAGGATTTTGATAACTTTGACTTTTCTTTTCAAAACAACAACAACAACAACAAAATGATTGATTCTTTAAGCTGGTCAATGTAGGACTTTCCTTTGAGCCCAAGAATATATATCTGATTCCTCTTCTCTGAACTGGTTCCAGAGCTGGTGGGAAATGCAGAAATATTTGAATGAGTTGCATTGCACAGATTTAGCATTTTCTTTCTGCATGTCCTTAGCATTTCTGTTCATTGCTCTGTTCATGAATCAGTGCTTTGGCAAAATTTAATCTAATTTCTCTTAGCCAAAGGAGTCTGATTGACTATTAATGCATAGTATGCCTTCACCTAGACAGCAGGAACCTCCTGCTGCATTGCTGTGTATTTACAGAGGGTAAGCAGGTAACCTATGGACTGATAGGAATGGAGATAAAAGATGTTGTTTTTATGTTTCAAATCAGAAATCAATTTAAAAGGTCATCTATAATCAGCCTTGACCTCCATGTTGTGGCCAAAGTACAGTTTGCTCAGTGGAGCTGGGAGACTCATTGGATGCTATATAGAGAGAGGTGGTCTGGGCTGGGCTGCCAGAGGGAATTTCTGAGCCCCGAGCAGGACCTTCTTGAGAGAGGTACGTGACTGAACTCTTTCAGGCAGTCTTTGACCAGAGAAGGCAGGGACAGAACTCTTGATCATTTCATTCTACGGTCAGCAATTTGTGAAGTTGGGTGCTTGCTTTATCGCCAATAAAAGAGTCACGGGTAGATGGATTGATAGAAATATAAAGTCCTTGTAAGGAACAAAGTGTAAGTAAATAGTCTCCTTCTATTTTGCTAAAGCAAAAAAACTGGCTATCATGCAGAATTGTTATTAATTAAAACAAGTATTATTACAAGGAACAGTATTATTGCATTTAGATTGCATGCATGGTTAAATGAGCCCTCTTTGTGTCACAATGGACTGCTGGGCTGGCGAATGCTTTGTCGACGACACCTCTGGGTAACTGGTTATAAAACAGCCAGTTTGAGCACACGAGGACTCCTGTGTCAGGCTCGGCCAGTCCCAGGGTTCTCCTCTCTGTCTCCCCAGGTTGAGAGATGAGCGGGTTTCTTCTCCTCCTGGGCGTTTTCGGCCTGTGGGGCAGCGGTTTCAGCCAAGGTAGGTGAGAGCAAAGGCCTGGTGGCGTGATACCCTTTTGCGCAGCCTACCTGGCGAAGAGGTTTCCTCAGCAAGAAAGCAAGGAACATTTTTAACGGCGCAATTCAAGAACTCTTAATCTTACTAAATGCTGGATGTGGTGCTGAAGCCTCCTACTGTAGTGTTGTCGTCCTGCATTACACTATTTTCTTCAGTTTCTCCAGGAGTCTCTGTGCTACCAGTGCCAGTGGCAGAGGTGACCCCTGCTGGCAGCGTTTGCTATTACACATACAAAAAAGCACATATAGTAAACCCCTGACTGAATGAGTACCTGTCCTCACTATCCAAAGGATATAACCCTGAATCCTGATTGCCTCTCACGTGCCCTACTCTGCTGATGGACCCCGTTCCTCCTCCTCGCCCGGAAACTCAACACACCTCTCCTGCTGGCTTACCCAGAATGCACAAGCACCCCAGGCTATGCAGACACAGCCTTGAGCCCCAGCTGTCCCCTCCTGGGTACCTAGCCACAGCCTGGTCCCATCGGCTGTTATTTCTGTGGAGGTGCCATCAGTAACCCTGGCCCTCGCTTGGTGTGCCCCTAGAATGCATCCAAGAGCTTCAGGTGGACGTGGACTTCCCAGGAAGTGATATCACGCACATCTATGCTCCTGATGCCCACTACTGCCAGCTGGCCTGCACACAGCACTACTCCTGCCAGTTCTTCACCTTTGTCACCCCCCAGTGGACTGCAGACAACAGGTGGGTCACCCTCGCCTTCTGAGACCCTGCCCTGGTAACTTTGCTATAGCGTTCCTGCACATCCTGTGTCCCCTGGACAAGGGAACTTTCAATAGTCTGGTCAAATCAACACAGCAAGGGGCACGCTGGTGGTGTTCCTGGTTGCCTCTCAGCCCCAGGGGTTGGGTTCAAATTTGGGATTTTGAGCTCTCCCTGTGTTCACCTTGGGGGTGAGGATCCACAGAAGGCTCTAAATTTCCCTTCCCAGGTGGGGGCAGAGGGTGAATCCCCACATGGGCAGTACTGGGGCACATGAGCAGTCATGCAGAATTTAATGTGCACAATGGACTGAGAAGCATCCTGCTTCTTCTCATTGACAGCTGCTCTGATCTTGTGAAGAAGAGACAGCTGAGGGCTGTTCAGTTTGCCATCAGCTGCACAGTCTTTTTTGCTGCTTTCAGCCAGATGCAACAGAAGTACTCTCATCGACAGAGATCATGCAGCATCATTTATAATGTCACACAGGGAGGTTTAATAAAGGAAAGTCTGAGGCTCTGATCAGTTTTCCTGCATGTTTTTGGGTGACGTTCCTAGATCATTCTACTGCTACCTGAAAGACACTGAGTCGGGGAAGCCCTCCGTTGTGACAAGCCTGAAGGCCGTGATTTCAGGATACAGTCTGAAGAACTGTGGGGACCCCAATGAAGGCAAGAGGATTTTTCTCCAAAGGTTATGTCATGTCGTACATATCTTGATTAAGCTGTTTTCCAAATCTGTTCTGCTCAGACACAATAAGCAATAGGTAAAAAACTAAGCAAAGATCAAATGTTTATAGGCTTTGCTTGCTGTGCGCATGACATCAGAACCGTGTACACAAAATGTTATGCCATGATTGATTTCTATAGAGGCTCTTTTCAAAGAGTCTAAAAACCTTTGTGCAGTAAAGTGAGTAGACATCGCGAGACAACAGAACGAGAGAGTAGAAGGCGGGAATATAAGGTGTAAGGGCGTGATCTGTGTAGTTAATAAAATAGTTAAAATAATATAAGAACGGCTCTTTATTAAGATACATAACACATGCTTTCACGCTGACATAATGTCCTCTCAATAGAAGCCAGTTACTAAGGAGTGAGTTAATTCTAGCAATAATGGTTACATGAGTTATTTTCTTGAAACTGCTGCATGTGAATAGAGTGTTTCTGTTTTATCAGAGTGCCTCTCCAGAGTCTACAGGGACGTTGATTTTCCAGGAGCAGACTATAGGTTCCTGTTTACTGACAACTATGAAGACTGTCAGTCAGCCTGCACTGATGACCCATACTGCCAGTTCTTCACATACCTCAATGACACTTACGCCAACGCCGCAATCCGGTGCGTGTGCTTAGGGCTGGAAGTGCAATCGTCAAAATGCTGATAATGTGCAGTCCCGGCCTCAGGTCTGTGGCAGAATAACAGGTCTTCTTCTGGAACATAGACAGACAGACTTAAGGACCTTCAAACCCCAACCCCAAACCAGAGAGCTCCTTCAGGGCTCACTCTCGTGCACATTTCTGCAGAGAAGTGTGGTGTAGTCATAGCCTACAAGATTAATGCTCTGCTAAAGCATAGGAATGCTTATCCAGTGTAAGCTACCTTGGCGTACAAATACCGAAGACGTGTTCACCGATGTGTGCCGTCCTGTCGTTAGGCAGAAATGCTTCCTGAAGTACAGCAGGAACATCCCGAGCCCCCCTGCTGTCATGGCTAACGAAAATGTGGTATCGGGATTCTCCCAACGGCCTTGCAACTCCCCTGGCACAGGTAGGGCATGACTTCCGGCACTCCGCACTTCAGCTCAGTGAGGGTCGCTGTCCGATCTTGCACTGTGACGAATATCGTCCTAGTTGTATTACACAGTTTAAACTCATATGGGAATGAGAAATGCTTGTTCTTGTCTCAAGCCTCTCCCCGTGCAAGCTCTGCAGCCCCGAAAAAGTGTTGCTGTGGTTCTCTTGCAGTGCACCACTCCGAAATCCAGCACTACTACGACTTCCCTGGGCAGGACCTGCTGCGCACCCCCGCCCCCTCTGCGGAGTTCTGTCAGCTGCTCTGCACCGCTCACCCACAGTGCTCCTTCTTCACCTACTCCAGGTACCGCACCTGCTCCCCGAGCAATCCAGCAACACAATATGAGGAGCCCACAGTCAAAGTCACGGATTGTCTTGATGGCAGGAAACGTGTGCTGTGTCTCGGGAAGCAGGAGACAGACCTCCGGCACTTTCCCTGGCCAGGACAACCCTCCCAAGTCTCAATCCTATGAAAAGCTAGTAAAGGTGGTACAATGTATAGTCTAACACCAGATACAGGTACGCTGGTCACAGCCTGAACAGAAGGCTGAAAGAATGGGTTGGGCTTGGGCTGCAGGTATTTGGGAAGTTTGCGGAACACCTGTCGCATCCTGCTCAGGTGTTCCTGCTGCTGTCGCTCGGTGGGTTCTGGTGGGTTATGTCCTAATATTTTGGCCACTATATGCAAATCATTCAGTTAAAAAATGGCAAGGAATTTAACAGATATTTGCAGAATATAACAGCAGATTTAATGTAAGGGCTTTAGAGAAAAGTAAACTGAGACCAGACAGAGGGCAGAGTACATATTTGTTAGAGATAACAAGGTTTTTTTATCTCTATTTATTTTTTTGACTCGGATTACCAGGCTGGAATGCTACCTGAAACATGGAGAGGTTCGGGAAAAGTCACCCAGAACAGAAGCACATTCTGGGAACCCAAGCCAATTCTCTGGGCCTGTGAATGGTGAGCCACCCTGATACACACTGTGCACTGTAACATATCTGAGGTTAAGTGTGTAATGTGTCAAAAACTGCACACAAAATATATATATATATATTAATGAGCATTGAAATCCCACACCTGAATTATCCATAGGCCTTTTCTATTGATGTGACAAAGTTAACTTTTATAGATTTCCCTCTGTGATGCCTGAGCTGATCATAGTTGTGCCACAGCAGCGCTGCTGAGCTGCAGGTTTGTGACCAGCAGGATGGTGAAGCACTATCACTTTCTGTCTGAATAAAGACCCCAAGAGCTAGCGTTTCCCAAACGTTTTTTCAAACAGGAGGGAGCTCTGCTTGGCTGACCTCCTCCTGTGCGTTTTTGCTCAATGTGAGCTGTAGGGAGTGTGTTTCCAGCGAGCTGTGTTCAGATTGTAATTGACAAATCTAACAAAGCTCCTACGACTCTCCATTACCTGAGTCCAGTATCTTGGGAAGGGAATTGCTAAGGAACTGGCTAGCAGGAGTGATTTACTCTTGTTTTCTTTAAAAAAGGCAGTTTGTTTTCATTACGTAAATTATTCTTCTGCCCTTTCATCATCACACATGCCCCACTATGTAAAATCTGGTCCAGTCAACACAAACAAATTGCAAAACAAAGCAGGTTAGTGCAAAGTATTTGACAATGTACTGTATGGTGCTCAATGAATGTACAGATATGGTCTTATAGATCTTCCCCTCTTCCTCTCTCTCATTCTCTGCCCAGCCTGTGTGAAGAAAGCATTTGAGAACATTGACTTTGTTGGGTACAACATGCGCTCTGTAGTGCTGAACAGCCCCGAGCAGTGTGAGGAAGTCTGCACTTCTGACCCCACCTGCCAGTTCTACACCTACATGAACGAAGACTACCCTCACCTCATACACAGGCCAGTACAGCCCTCCTCACTGGTGCACTGGAGTGCACAGGAGGGGCAGGGGAAAGGGAACCTAGAGTACAAGAGCAGTACTGTAGCTGCTGGTATGGCAGGAAGCACACAGAAGCAAACACTCTAGCGACACAATGCAAGTCTGCAATTTATCATTTGCTTAAATATGAGCGTTTCATTCTTTGAAAAGAAATGAAAAATGCATTCAGAATTCGTAGGCAGAGTTGTTTTCACAGTAGGATCAATGCTTGCCGCTGAACTGTCCTTCATGAAATCTAACTGTGGAACGAGTTGGTGACAGCAGAGTAAAGCACTGCAAAGCAATGTAAGGATGTAGTTTTGGGGAGGAGTGCAGCACATTTCTGGCAGGGTGATAGCTTAGCCAGGTGGTTCTCTTGAATTCTCAGGAACTTCTGGTGTTTATTCCTTTAATAACTTCATTGAACCAGTCTGGATTAACGGACATGATATACTTCTCCTGCAGGAGGCACTGCTTCCTGAAGCAGGTGATTTCAGTGCCACAGCCCCCGAAGATCACTACTCTGGCTGGAGCAGTGTCGGGGTTCCACCGGAGAAACTGCCAGTGCAAAAGAGACATCCCAGAAGAGATAGGTCAGTCTCCCACACAGCAGGTGCTTTTGTGCCTCCTTCACTTTCTGTGTTGTAAGGCGAGAGTTGCAAATAATTTAGAATTTATAATCATGCAAAATGCATTATTCTGCAGAACAACAGAGCTCCTAACCAGAGGCATCAGCTTGAGTTCCACACCGGTTCTTAGCCAGTCAAGTTAGGGCAGAACAGAAGATAGAAGCCATTTTGGCTAAGCATGATATTCAAGAGATGCTTAGCCTACATCTACTCTACATACTGTTTTGAGTTGAACACAACAGACAGAAAACACTTCTGGTTTCTCAGGGCAAAATGGGATAAGCTCTGTTTCTTAAATAACGTTCTCATTGAGAGGCTTTGAACCAGGCTGGCCTTTCCAGGGACACAGAAGGGAGGGTTTTTTGGCAGGAGAAAAAGAGACCTGTCACACTGTAGGCCCATCTCCTGCATTAGTGTAGATTAGACGTCCCCAGCTCTGGACCCTCAAGATTAACAGGTTTTGCAGGCCTCCTTAAATCCCTGGAAGCTACAGATCTGCACAGGGTTGTTAAATGTGTCCAAACAAGCCTTAAATTAATCTTGAGGTCTTGTGCTGTGCATTATTCAAGGAGAGCCACAAGACCTGCTGAACTCCTGCCCTTAGATTTGGGAGTCCCTGCTTTCAGGTTTGTTTTGGATGAAAGACTTCCTCCAATTCCTCCATTTCTACAGCTCCCAGCTAGTTGCATACAAGGAACTGTGGTCTAGAGCTCATTAACCTTTCTTTGAGGATTCTTGCCAGAGTTAAAATGAAGACTAGCTACTCAGTATGAGCAACAGTGAGAGACCGAGGATCTACAGAAGAGAAAATAAGACCCATCAAGACAAATGACTTAATGATCTGTAATTTATCCTGATCTACCAGCTGATTCTGTTTCTGATCAGGCACACTTCATGAATAAGCACAGCAGCCATCAGTTTGATCTTGTTGTTATCTTCTCACCACAAGACTGCAATTTTTGCCTTTGCATTTTACTTTGCCTTTGCCTTTGATTCAACACAAGACTTAACCAAGTCTATTCTAAAAGAGATTGACAACCACTGTTGAGGTTTTCAACACCTTATAGGGAAATCAACTTGCAGACAGCTGAACCCTATTGCCCTAACAACCTCACGAGTCTTGTGTCTGGTGTACCTTATTCTGCCCTCTGGTGGCTGAAACCAGTATTAACACTCCAGATCCAGCTGCTCTGCTACTCAGCCACAATATGTGGGATGAATCCTTTTGGAGCACAAGTGTTCTCTTTGGGAGAGTTACCTTTTGTGAGTTAGTGCAAAACATTACAGTGTGAAAAACTCAAGGTGGGTATAATCATATAGCTAGAGAGAAGACCAAAAGCAGTTTTTAAACACAAACAAAACACAGGGAATAATAATTGACTACAGAAAGAAACGTTCGACTCCTGTGATCCCTGTAACTGTTAATGGAACTGATATTGAAACAGTAATTGTAATTTGAACAATTGATGAACAATTTCCATTAATTAAGAAATTAACGAGTTTCAATATTTAAATTATAATGCATACCTTTTTTTATCAGAGTTTTATTCAGAGCATTCTAGCTTTTTGTATTCAGCGCTGGGGAGGTGCCTTGTCCTAGCAGAACAACAATAAGTTAAACAAAGTGATCAGGACTGGTGGCAAGATTACCAGAGCATCCTTGGGCTCAATAAGTCCAATTATTAATTGGACAGATTAATTATTATTAATCTTGCACAGAAAATCTTCGATGACCCCTCTTTTGAGAATATACTCTCCTGATCCCCTGTAGAAAGACTAGGAGAGCATTTACTTCCTTTATACCTAAAAGCATTCAATTGTTAGAACAGTGGAAAAAAATGTCTGTAGTTAGGGATCTTCTTCTTGTTATTGTTTTCAGACTCTTCAAGAGTTAACTGTCTGTTTTTTAATCATGTGGTACCTGAAGAGTTCTGACTGAGCGATGTTGCTGAATGTTGTTTTATGAGATATATTATGGTATTGTACTGTTGCTGTGTTGTATTATGGTCGTATGTGTAACATGTTTATGAGCTCCTGATGCCCTTAGGGGCAATAATGGTGAACACAAGGTTCATGGTCTGTGGCCATGTTCTCACACACGAGCCGGTGCCAGGCCCAGGTGTTGGCGACGAAGGCGGGATTTCAAGCTCACAGAGGCCGCCGGCTCTTGTCCTTGCTCTCAGACTGCGGGGAGGTGGACGACACGCAGGCGCGGATCCTGGGCGGGACGAGGGCGGAGAGGAACAAGTGGCCGTGGCAGGTGTCCCTGCACGAGGACTCCTCGCACAGCTGCGGGGGCAGCATCCTGAGACGGCGCTGGGTCGTCACCGCGGCGCACTGCCTCGTAGAGTGAGCCCGCGGCACGCCGGACGGCCCGCAGCAGACACACCGGCCCGCAGCGCAGTCCCAGACGGATCTGGCTCAAGCTGCTCGGCTGTAGGGCGAGGAGGGAACCAGGGGGCAGCTGCTCAGGGGCACGGGGGGGGTGGAGGAGGGGTACAGAGGATGAATGCAGAGGAGGAAAGGCTTATGTGTGGAATTTATAGCATTTTTTAAAATTTATCTCAGCAGTGATTGTGAGACAGGGCAGCTGAGGCAAAACCGAACTACTGTAGAATAAACCCGAGAATCATAACGTTAGCATTCACATTACGGTTCTGCTACGATTATATTTACTGTAACTTGACTTTCGAAAAAAACGTTTATAAAATGCAAATTTGACTCACGCTGAAAGGAAAAGAGACCTGATGAAGGCTCCACAGCTGAAACGTTGTGTCTCTTTTCTTTTCCTTTCAGCAGGGAATAAACCTTCACCTGTTTCTCTGCAGCCTACACATGCTGACGCAGCTACCTACTTGAACTTCGAGAAGCGGAACTTTTCGAGACGTTGCATGAAGCTAGTCAGGGGTGCTGCCCACACGTGCTGACCCTCACTGTTCTGGTACACTCCTGCAGCTCCAAGGCGTCAGACCTGAAGGTGTACGCTGGGATACTGAGGCAGAAAGAAACACGCTCCGCGGAGTACTATGGCGTGGAGAAGATCCTGATGCACTCGGAATACGATCAGGGAGATCAAGAAAACGACATAGCTCTGCTGAAACTGGACAGGCCCATCACGTACGATGGTGAGCATTTAAGAAAAGTTAATTGCCGCCAAACTACATAAAAACTGTCAGGTTGTCTTGGGCTTAGGAGAAGGAAGAAGTAAAGGTTAATTCCAGTCTGAAATGTAGAAATCACAAACACCACATTGCGGGTTTGTATACACAAACCGTAAGATCGTGTGTTGTTTTTTATGTGTACAGGGCATTTTGACATGGTATTTTTTGTATTTTCATTTGTCCTTCCTCCTATCCCTCCAAAGCATTTTGACACTTAGTTTTTGTTGTTTTAGACTCAAAGTGGCCTATCTGCCTCCCAAACAAGGCAAAAGAGAAGGAGTTTTGGGGACAGAAATGCTGGATCTCAGGCTGGGGGAAATTGGCTTCAGGTAAGCAATGAAGTCATGCAACAAGCTTCAGCTGTACCTCGGGCTGCTTAATCGTCAGAGCGTTTGAGCTCCCTGCTTAGCAATTCAGCTTATAGCATTAAAACCTCTTGCTGTTTTATTTCCCTTTCCAGGAAAATCGCCGAGTTTCCTTCAGCAAGCAGAGCTCCCTCTGATCACCACTGAGGCCTGCAGGTCCTTCTACAGCAACAGCTCCATTGCTGACACCATGCTCTGTGCAGGTCTCGAGGAAGGTGGCGTCGACACCTGTCAGGTAACGCAGAATGTGCACAGAGCTGTTGCACAGACTGCCTCACGGGAAATGAGCCTAGAATCCACAGCCCCCCATGACGATTTATCTATTGAAGCTCTCTGGTACAGAGCTTTAATTGCGAATGAGGTGCATACCACAGGGCTGATCTCTCTCCCGTTTCACCTGCAGAGTGTGTGTGCTGCTGGCCAGGAGTAGGGCCCCGGGGGCAGGGCGTATGAACTCGGGCCCCCTAGAAGACACTAACCCCCTGCTCTGTGCTGTGCTCCTCCCGCACCAGGGCGACAGCGGCGGGCCCCTGATGTGCGAGTCGCAGGACAAGTGGTACCTGATGGGCGTGACCAGCTGGGGAGATGGCTGTGGGGTGGCAGGCAAGCCCGGGGTGTACACCCGAGTGGAGAAGTACCGGGACTGGATTAAAGGCACCATCTGCCAGAGTAAGATCCCTCCCTCGCTACAGCACGGCTCCTGGCTGGGGTGGTGGGGCCCAGAGTACCGTCACCCTGTGACCCTGTGACTGGCGGGAAGCGCTCTAGTGGGCGGCGCCAGGGTGACACCCGTCTGGGCCCAAAGCTGAGGCCCCCGCAGCCTGCCATCCGCCACGGCGGCCCACGGCGGGCGCCAGTGTGCTCCGCAGCTTCACAAACCAGGGCCGGGCCCGGTGCCCCCAGGGCGAAATGAAGGAATGAGGATTGACCACATTCTCCCAACGTCTGCAAGCGTCCTGCTCGGTACAGGTTCAGTCTGACGCGCGGCACCTCCGGCTTGCTGTCTCGTGAAGACTGGCCACTGGGAAACGTGCTATTCCTGACTGCACTGCAAAACACGTTCCTCCATATTCCTCCTTTCAGCTTGTAGTGTCACCACTCGAGGCTCGGACACGCAGTGATTGAGCACAGTGAGCCCACCTGCTTCGTGAGATCTGTGCGTCGCCTCTGTGACAGACATCGCACTGAGACTAAACTGAGATGTTATTGAAAAAAACATTCGTTTGTCATACAAAAAAAAAAAGAGATGTTATTGCAGCACAGCCTGGCAATACAGGGGAATCTCCGGACACAGATCTGCCATGTGGTCAAGTATGATCATGAGGTGTTGATACCAATCCTTCTTTCTTGTTTTTTTCTAGATTCCTGAAGCCCAGATGGGATTTGAAGATAAGCCACCTGGGCAACAGCTTACTCATTTACAACGGCCAGTCCAGGCTGTACAACAGAAGAGTATCTAGTGGAACAGAGACACCTAAAGAAGGAATATGGACACAGATTTTGGACACAAAAGAAATACCAGTGCACTAGCCCCGTCTTCGCCACCCTTTTCTTTCATTCAATCTCTGTTTCGCCTGTTCATAACTGGGAGCCATAAGAGCACATCGACATGTATATTCAAATATACTTAATCTCTCAGATCAGGACGTTTCTGTGAGTTTTATTACAACATGGAAGTTTCAATCACATACTGTAAAAGGATGCACACCGAGGCTAGGAACGTCGGAGTAATAATTAATATACCGATTGTACTGAAAAAGAAAAGAGAGATTTTTTTTTTTACTGAAATGGCAGAATGAAAGTAGAGACAGAAGGGAAAAGATATTATGAGTTTTCTTGTCCGTGCATCAGCATTGTTTTCAACCCAGTAAGGGAAAATGTGTTAAATTACTTTTTTTTTTTTCTCGCAGGCTACCGCCTTTAATTAAAAAAAAAAATCGGGATGGAGCACTGGAGCTGCCTGGTTTAATATCAGACTGAGTAGGGAAACGGGCGTTGGTATTTTCCCGGATTCCCAGCTTGATTCACAGCACACAGATGTCGCTATAGCGGGCTCAGCTGGGTAGTTCTGACAGGCTAACATGCTCTTCCTTTTCCGCTGTCAGTCGGTGCTTTTTTTATCCCAAGTTTGACCCTGGCAGCTATTTCCTCTCCTCTCTCGCGCTATAAAGTCCCCACGCGTTCCGCACGCAGTCTCTTTCCCTGGCCACAAAACAGAGCGAGTGTGAGCACTCACTGCTCTTTCACAACTTCAAGAAAAAACACAAAAAAATAAAAAAACACAAAATACACAAAACCTGTGAAAAAAATACCGGAACTTCAAGACAAGGCGGAAAAAAAGGAAAATTAAAAAAAAAACGCAAAATAATACTTTTTTTGTTTTATTTTAATTCTTGATATTTACAGAAGGCCTCGGGCTTGGATTGCCTGAAGTTTTAAAGACGAGAATTTCCATTACAATTATCAGTAAGAAGAAACAATATTCTTAGCAAGACACTGCACTGTTTAAAAGGACTCAGTATCCCAGATTGAGGTTATTTTGGGACTCTATTTTTCCTTTCTTCAGCTAAGATTTTTTATTGAAACTTTTACAGCATCCAGGCTTTTTGTCTACAAATACTGACAAAATAATTTCACATTAGCGGTGGATCCATTGACCTCGACTAAATTAAACTGTGCAGTTCGGGGAGCGCAGCTGTTGTGCTTACTGAACATTACAATACACACACACACACGTACATAAATCCACCGAAACATCTCAGCCGTCCGCTATTCAAATCCGAACAATGAACACTGCGACAGCAGGGAGTTACCCGATGGCTTCTCTTTATGTCGGCGACTTGCACCCCGATATCACTGAGGCGATGCTCTACGAAAAATTCAGCCCCGCCGGCCCGGTTCTGTCCATTCGGGTCTGCCGCGACATGATCACCCGCCGCTCTCTGGGTTACGCCTATGTGAACTTTCAGCAGCCCGCAGACGGTAAGCACAGTATATACTTCGTGTTGGTGCGTTTGTGTGTGTCGGCATGGCTGTGACTCTTTAAATCCCCCCACCTGCAGTGTGTCAACTTGGGCAGAAGCAGAGCAGCGCTCCCTCTCCCCCGTGCGCGTTTTTCGTACTGCGGTGAAAAGACGCAGGAAGCCTGATGCTCTCGCCCAGCTCACATGCGTTGGGCACAGTATTAACACGGTGAAGGAGGAGCAATAAAAAAAAAACACCATTGCATATAGAGAGCTTATGGGGTCTGTCGTGTCTAAACACAACGGCATGGTCTGTAAGGATTCTGGTAACAATAATTGATTAGATCTTCGATCAGTACGTTTTTGCTTCTCCTGCATGCTAAACGGCAGGGCGCAGTGAATTTACTTGAGATGTGCGGTGAAGTATAAACAAAGTGCGAGGAACTAAGTAGAGGGTATAAAAATGGCAAAGCAGCTGAAGGGGTTTTAGGGAGCATTGCAGGCTGACTGTTGGGGAGCTTCCTCTGGAGTTTAAGCCCACAGACACAAACACATACTGTACCTCCACAGCCAGGTGCAAGTCCACCTGTCATCATTACTTGTGGGTTCTGCGCCCCAGCAGTTCAGAAGAGTGAAGACTCGTGCAGAGCAGGCTTTGTCCCCCTGGAGCGATCATGCCCAGGCTTCCCCGACACTAGGTTCAGCTTCACGGCTTTGAGAACGTTTACTACAGAACATAAAAACAGTTACAGACGAGAAAAGGCCATTCCAAGACCATTCCAGCCTGTTTAGCAGCTAGCAGCTGATTGATCCAGACAGTCGGGGGATCGTTTCAACAACACGGCTGGACAGATTCCACTCTCTCGCTGTCCTGCGGCTGAAGAAGTGCCTCCGGATCTTGGTTTTAAATGCGCCTCCCTGTAGTTTCCACTTGTGAGCCCCAGTTTGTGTTTCACTGTTCGTTCTGAAGAAATACACAGGGCCGACTTAGTCCTTTTGCGGATTTTGAGTACGTGTGTTAAGGTCCCGTCATACTCCTGTCTGTTCAGGACTGAAAGGGTTCAGTTCCTTCCGTCTGTCAGGGAGGGACACTCCCTTCAGCCCCAGGATGTATCTGGTTGCTCTTGTTTGGACTGATTGCAGCAGGATCTTTCTATCACATGGTAACCAAGAGTGTGCACAATACCATGGGAAATGTAAATTTGTATAGTACTTGCATATTGTCCCCTAGTTTTACCAAGTATTTTGGTTTCCACAGCTGGGAATTATGTATTCTCACAACTCTCAGTGCTTTACTAAACTGTACCCTGCTTTTCCCATCGTCCACCACTTTTGCGACCTTTTCAGCTAAACACAGAACAAAAGTGGATAATAACGAAACAAAGAGCTGAAAGGACACCTGAGGTATGAAGAGTCTCAGACTACAGCAGGTGCGTCTTCACCTTGCCCTTCCCATCAGCCCTGTCGATTTCTGTCTCTCCTGTCTTCCCTCTGCCCCAGGCTGAGCGGCTGCAGACCAGCTACATGGAGACCTTATTCTTCATCTCCATTCGGGCTCCCAGATTACCAAGCGCAGAAAGGCTGATTGGTTTTGCACTTTTATGAGAAACAAGCAAAGCATCAGAAGGCACCTGACAAATTGTTCTTTCGCCATCTCCATTTCTGAGCACTCAGGACAAGCAGTGCTGCTGGGCTTGCACCGCTGGCCAGTTTCAGGCAGCTACTTCTCTCGGCTGTCCCTGACTGTGCCCGTTCTGGGTCCTGTCCCTGACTGTGCCCGTTCTGGGTCCTGTCCCTGTGCCCGTTCTGGGTCCTGTCCCTGACTGTGCCCGTTCTGGGTCCTGTCCCTGTCTATGCCCGTTCTGGATCCTGTCCCTGTCTATGCCCGTTCTGGGTCCTGTCCCTGACTGTGCCCGTTCTGGGTCCTGTCCCTGTCTGTGCCCGTTCTGGGTCCTGTCCCTGTCTATGCCCGTTCTGGATCCTGTCCCTGACTGTGCCCGTTCTGGGTCCTGTAATGACTTGCTGTTCCTCTGCCTTTAGATTTCTCATGGAAAGATGCACAGTGAAATGTTTGGTGTTGTGGTGCACTGCTCCTCCTTTTTCCACATTTGGAGCATGTCTCATCCAGAGGCCTGCTGTTCGACTGCTAGCCCGACACATACACAATGCGAGCAGGGCACAATAGAGACTTTGTTCGTGGACTCCACAAAGCAAAACCCCAAGTGTGCAATTTTTGAACAAGCCTTTATTGTGGCTTTGTCTGATTTCACGCACGGCAGTTTTTTAAAACTGTACCAGAGGGGCCTCATCCTTCCACGCTCCTCTTTTCCAGCACATGGCTTTGCTTCTTCCTGCGCTGTCACAGGCGTGACTGTTTTGTCTCCAGTGCGTGCGCAATGCTGAGCTCCTGACGTGCTCCTCATGAGGCAGAGCTGTCTAAGTCCTGGAGAGGAGCTGACCGAGGCACACAGGGACAAGCTGCCTGATATGCTGAGGGCTGTGTCTTTATAAACAGCATCAGCGGGGACTGGATCTCTGGTTCCTGCCACTCTCACTCCACAAAGACGGCGAATGTGTTATGACAGCTACCCTTAGGAATACGTTGGCAGTGCCCATCAGTGGTCATATTCAAGAGTAGAGGAACAGATGCTTTTGCTTTGGTATGCTATTCTCAGTGGGAAAAACATTTATCCAAGTTTCCACAAATAGAAAGTATATAGAATTAAATGCTGTATGTTGCTTATAAAAGCCACTTTCTCAGATCTGATGCTTCTGTGTCTTCATTTTCCTTGCTCACTTGGACACTCTGATATTTTTGGCATTCCTCTCTCACTGGAAGTCTGGAGAACCCCTTCAGTTTGTCCAATCAAGCAAAGAATTGGCTATTTTAATTAATGTGCACCAGAAGGCACTGCACAACTGGGGAGCCAGTGGTTCACATCCCTGTGTTAACTGATTATACAAGAACCTACCATGGGTGGAACGTGACAATGGCTTATTGTATATGTGTAGTGGAATAACTCCATATGTGCATACTACAGCATATTTCTTTTTGATGGAAGTGCCATTCAGAGCCAGCAGTGTGTATGCCGTGATAAAATATGTTGAAGCTGCAGTTTGAAACAGTTACCGGCCTGTGCTATTCATCATCTCCTTCTAGATCAATGTGCCCTCCTCCCTGAATGGCAGAGTAATGTTAAACCAATCTCTAGCCAGCACATACCTTAGAGGACCCCATGCTGCTAAATATAGCCCAAATTGTAGGGTGGCCAGGGCCTTGCCTGCTTGAAACCCCTCACCACTGAGTGTGATTCACTGGTCAGAGCATTTCATCCAAATAGAATGAGGTTGAAATGTGGACCAATATATAATTTCTAGCTTGAATAACATTTTTGAAGTCAGACGTATTTGATTATTTTTGCTAAAATTTTGAGCTCCCATGCTCGACTGTAGATGGTATTGGATGTTTTCAGTTGTTTCAGCCAAATTTGAAGGGCTTCCTTATCTGAGGTCAGATTCAGTTTTGTGTTTTACCTTCTGGGCTGATTCTACAGAGGCATTGCTTAGTTGCACTATCTTCTTAAATCTTAAAATTGTGGCTTTAGGAAATTCTCAAATGTATATATATAAAAATATCGATGTTGTTAATATTAATCATTTATAGCAACCGTAAGAACAGTAGCCAGGGGTCTGTTGTTACTATCACTTTTAATGGAGTTAGTTGCTTGTATATCAACAGATATTTGTTCAAGCAAGACTTCAATTGACTGTTATATTCTGGATTGTAGAATATAATATAATGACTGTTATATTCTGAATTGTAGAATATAATATAATATAATGACTGTTATATTCTGAACGGGAGTGAGACACTGAATCTAGTTTTACATTGTATCCTATTGAAAGAAGAAATATAGCACAATGCAGGGTTCAGAATGGATACCATGAATAGTAAGGTAACATGATTAAACAAAAAAAAACTAATCGTAATTCTGGCCTAAGAATGCACGTTAAAATGGCCCTCTTAATGAGCAGGAGGTGACTGCGTGATGATTCCAGTGATCTACTTTCGTGCTAGAAGCATGAAGCTGTCAGAGTTCCTTTGCTGGATGGAAGTGGTGCAGCTCGGCTTCGGGGAGGTGAGGAGGTGAGAGTAGGGCCTGTTGTAGATGAAGCTGTGAGAGGAGCCGTGTGGCTCTGGGGTACCTGACACAGGAAGGCCGCCGTGGTCGTGAGAGATCTAGGACACGGCACCATGGAGCGATCAAACTAGAATCGTGCTCCTGGGATGCGGCTGGAACTGTGCCGTCCACCAGCAAAAAAAAATCCAAAATTTTTCCCAAACCTCCTCGGTGAGCCTGGGAAAAAAACGTCACTGTCATGCGCCACATAAAGGCAGAGCAGAGCGTTTTGAAGCAAACTGAATTTATATCGGAGTACAGAGAGGTGAGGTGCAGAAATGTAAAAAAGTGGAAGACTCTGGCAAAACATGGATCCATTGCAGAACCCATGAAAAAAACTGCCCAAGTACTCCAGAAGCTTAGTATCGGCACACTTACCACGAGTAGTGGGACTAGTCGTTAGACCAGTGATCTGATTTAGCGCAGTCATCTTCTCACCTTTGTCAATGTGTTATTTCTGCTCGTTGAAGGTCATTCAGGTCAATTCCTCACCAGGGCCTGCGGGTGTGCAGTAGGAAGTTGAGTTCACCCAACAGTGTGCTGGAGTGAGGAGCAATCCTCATGCTGTGCAGCACCAGCCAAATGAAAACAGAGGAGAGGACTAGCTCCCAGGAACACGTACTGGAAGACATCTGCTTTACTTGTCAGTGATCCCAAGTGTTACAAAACACTGTTAGCTGGACGGTTGCTAACTGTGACTCAGTTCAAGTCAGCAAACTGTTCTACCTTCTCCTCTTCCCACTGTCTCACAACCCCATAGTGCAATTGGAATAATCAGATCAATGTAAATATGGGTCCTATCCTGGCCAGCCATTAGCCTGGTCATCCAGCATCAGTGTGGGTGCCGAGTTCATATACATTTGTGCTCGTGTTTGATCTGTCCTCTTACAAAGTCCCAGGTTATTTAGGCAGAGAACTAGTCTCCTCCGTGTTCATCTAGTCTCCTCTTCAGGTTGCTGCTTTTGACTTGTGATCTTTTAAGCATGACACAACAGGAGGGAGAGTTCGAGAGCAAATCAAGAGAAAGGGATGGATGTCAGGTGGGTCAAAGGGGAGTTTTTAATCCGATTTCTTGACAGCTTTCTTTGTCTTTGGGCACATTTTTGTTTGAGAGACATTGGTTCATGCCTGGGGGCTGAAAACCGGTCCCTCCTCCCACCCTCTGCTCCGAGCAGGTGTTCCGTTTTTGGGGGGCCCACTGCTGCCTGCGCTGACTCTCTCCCCCCTGCTCCCCCAGCCGAGAGGGCTCTGGACACCATGAACTTCGATGTGATCAAGGGCAAGCCCATCCGCATCATGTGGTCGCAGAGAGACCCCTCGCTCCGGAAGTCAGGCGTGGGCAATGTCTTCATCAAAAACTTGGACAAGTCCATCGACAACAAGGCGCTCTACGACACCTTCTCTGCCTTCGGCAACATCCTGTCCTGCAAGGTAGGTGTGGGCGTGCTGCGGGAGAGCGCTACAGGCTTTTCCCAAAGGGGCAGATGAGCCATGGGGCAGGGAGTGTAGACCAGTCTGTATTAAAGAGCTGTGCACAGGGCAGTGCGTGGCCCAGAGAGCTGTGCACAGGGCAGTGCGTGGCCCAGAGAACGATGGACCGGGCAGTGTGTGGCCCAGACCTCCGCCCTGTCCAGGCTCTGTAACCAGGCTCTCTCTCCTCCCGCCGCAGGTGGTGTGCGACGAGAATGGCTCCAAGGGCTACGCGTTCGTCCACTTCGAGACGCAGGATGCCGCCGACCGCGCCATCGAGAAGATGAACGGAATGCTGCTAAATGACCGCAAGGTGTGAGTGTCCAGAGAGGTGGACAGCCAATCTGCCAAAGTTCACTGAGGGAATCTGCTTTGCAACCAGGGGTCTTCCATTCCTGTCTGCTGCAGGGTCTTCCTTTGTCACTAGTCTTGAATTATTCAAGTGGCCGGTTCAGTAATAAAGCATTGGTAGGATTCTCCTGCAGTGGAGAATGGAGTGGAAGTGCAATGCGTTCATCTCCAGTGAAGATGGAACTTTTCTTCTCCACATTCACATTTTTAACACCTTGACAAGTCTTTTACAGCACTTATGTTGCCCAGCCTTTCACTGTTTGCCTGTACATTCCTTTAGAGCTTGCAGATGTGGAGCATCTGCTGTTCCCAACCATTTTAAGAACCACGCCAAGCATTTCAAGCCAACAACAGAGAGAGCAGTGGCAGCTCCTCCCACTCTGGTTTTCTCTGGTTCTGTTTCCCGGACATTTTGAATTAAGTTTCTTTGATTCAACTTGTTTTTAGTGTGAAAGGTCAACAGATCACTAAAAAAATAATGGGGAAAAAATGTTTTGGCAAAGATGTGTAGGTAGGTGCTGATCAACAAATGCTAATCACCTGCTTAGGTTCCTGATCTGACACTGAAGCTGAATTCAGGTGAATTAATACCAGATTGCTTCTGGAATTGTTTATCAATAGTTATTGATGACGTATGTATCATGCTGGCTCATTGTCTGGGAGAAGGTTGAAATTTCATGCATCGGGAATTTGATGGAATGTGGTATGTTTGTGCAGGTGCTGGCTGACTGCTGAAAAGATGCTCGGTCAAGCATGATGAAGGCAGTCTTAAAATAAATGCTCTGTTAGTATACCACCGGCTTTTGGCCTCCACTCCTGCGGAAGTTCATCAGGTGCCAGGAGACAAATACCCTCCTCAAAGTTATAGAAGGAGCTGCCAACCTAGAGTAACATGCTGGCTGAGGGCATGCCCATCTGTCTTGTCTGTCTGTGTCTGTCTGCCTGCGCGTGTAACCTGGTTGTGTGTTTTAGTGATGCATCAGGAATGCAGTTCTGGAGGAATGAGAAGGGAGAGGGCTGGATGGCAGGTACAGTTGAAGCACACTAGGCCACTCTTACCTTAATCACCCTGAGCCAGACTCCCCTTGGAGTGTCCATGTGTCTGTGTGCCTGCTGTCTGATGGATAGGGATGTGGGCTGTTGTCACTGCAATGCTGATCATCCTGGAGAGTTGTGAATACAGCACTCTAGCACTCTGGCACCCTAGACCTGTTTGCTTGGTTGTGACCATTAAGAAGGTAGCAGATCTGTGAAATATATGGGAAACATACTTCACCTCATGTTTTCACCTGTTCTATGTGAACTTATACATCAGTCAACTCTTTGACTTTGTAGACCGGTATGTTTGTTTTTCATTACTGGAAGACATGTCCTGCATTTAATCTCCCGAAATGACATTTTTCAGATTTTGTTGTCGTGTCTAGAAAATGCATTCGTCCTGGTGATGGATCTTTTTGTTTTTTCTGTGTTATGTATACACTGCTGTGCAAAGGTTTTCAACAACATTCAGACACAAATCAGAGATTCGATATACATATGTACTGTATTAACCATCAACAATTTAGTGAAAGCCTCCGCATTCTAATATTATAACTATGACTGTTAATAAAGCTGATTTTGAGTGAGGAGGAACCAAGCTGATCACAGCAACTCATGGTAGACTGTACAGAAGCAACCAGTATGACGTGTTGTAACTAATCAATTACATTTACCTGTCAGAGCTTATGGAATAATTGCCAGTTATTTATCTTCATCATTAGCATAATCTTTTCCTCTCTACTACACATACAGAAAGCTGAAAGACTATTTCGTATACTGGAAACATGATGTGTCAGGATTAAGTGTCAGCCTAAAAATATGTATGCGTCTGTATAACAAAGGAAAATGTGAAAAGAGCAGAGTATTCCAATGTCTTATATGTTTTGCACAACACTGTATATATATTTTTCTCAGATTTGTAATGTGAAGGTATGGTCAAACAAGACCAGTGCTTCTGACAAAAAAACAGCAGAGAGGTAGGCAGGGACTCTCTTATCCCACATCACCAGAGGCACATGAGCATTTTGGTTCACTCCCTGCCTGTCTAGGTTTGTGGGACGGTTCAAGTCCCGGAAGGAGAGGGAGGTGGAGCTGGGGGCCAAAGCCAAGGAATTCACCAACGTGTACATCAAGAACTTCGGAGAGGACATGGACGATGAGAGGCTGAAGGAGCTCTTTGACAAATACGGTGAGGCCTGCTAGGATCTCTGGCAACAGCTTCTCACTCCGTCCCGCTCCAGGTGTCCCAGTACACAAGAAACGCTGCAGACCATCTCGGAGGCATCTCGGTACATGTGGTGCGCTTGGTCGTGATCATGTGATTAAACAGGGGGTCTCATCCATCCTTTCTGTAACGTGATGACCAAAACTGTACACAGTATTCAAAATGAGGCCTTGCAAATGCATTATACAGCTTTAAGTTGTTCAAACTAGTCCTTCATTCAGAGGTTTGTGGCTCCAGTCCTGCAGATTTTAGAGTTTGATGTAGTTAAAATGTAGAACATTTGAAAATAGTGTCCTGCTTACTAAATAGGCAGATGTTCATTCCAATATTTTTTTCAGGTGTGAATGAGAAGCAGAGATGTTGTGGATCTTCGGGTCCAGGGTTATACTGATAACGGTCAATTTAGCAACAAAGGTTTAACTTCAGTTTGCTTGTCCAGCGATAGCAGAGACTGGATTGGGAATGACGTTACCCCTTGCGTTCCTGGCGGGACTTTTCCGGTCTAGATTGTCACGGTCACCCCGATCCTCAGTGACCAGCCTGTCTGTCTTCGTCCTCGCAGGTAAAACTCTCAGCGTCAAGGTCATGACAGACCCCAGTGGCAAATCCAAAGGCTTCGGGTTTGTGAGCTACGAGAAGCATGAAGACGCCAACAAGGTCAGAACCCTCAACCTGGTGGGGCGGAGGAGGGGGGCCTTTCCAATTCCAATGTGACCATCTTTATTTAATTGATTAATTGATTTCTAACAAAGAAATGTCATCATTATGATGGGCAGTCTGACTATTGTGGACGTGAGCTGGAATGTGGCGGCAGCTGTAAATCAGCTGTGGTCAGTAAGATCACTTAAACTACACTTGCTTTCAAAGCTGAGTCGCAAAGGTTGGGGTCATAATCCCACCAAAGTGTTATTATGCTTGAAAGAGCTTGGATTTGGGGGTCCACTGATATCAAGCCCAGTACCCTATCTAGATACTGTTTCATTCATTCTGTGGGTGCACTGTGGGGAATGGGAGTGAGCCTGTAAGCCTCTTGGGCACCCCTGCCCTTGCCTTCATCTCTGCAACTGGGCTAGAAATGGCGAGACAGTGAGACAAGGTCAATCTATGTCTCCATCTTACACACTTCCCTGCATTTTTACAATGCCAGGGCGGGAACGTCAAAGCTTTTCAAAACTGCTCTGCTAATGTTCCCCCCTCAGACCAGGACTGCCCCGACTTTGTAGGCTTTAGAGAGAACTAGGCATCCTAGTTGTAGTATTAGAAACAGCATTTAGAGTGAGTCAGTGGGTGCACATTTTTTGGGAACCAGATGGACGCTTCACTCTCCAGGATGTGGGAGTATGTAAATTATGGAAAAGTACGTAAATTCGCTCTTGGCAGACGAGTCTGCAAGGGCCAGATTGCACTGTCGCTGAACCCGCAACACTGTTCTGTGCTGAGCCTGGCCTGTTCTGTGATCCCCCAGGCGGTGGAGGAGATGAATGGCACCGAGCTCAACGGGAAGATGGTGTTTGTGGGGCGCGCGCAGAAGAAGATGGAGAGGCAGGCGGAGCTGAAGAGGAAGTTTGAGCAGCTGAAGCAGGAGAGGATCAGCCGGTACCAGGTCTGTGAGCAGGGCCCTCACAGAGCCACCCCTGCAAACCCTGCAGCACCTCTGTGTAATTCAGTGTCCACCCTGCAGTGCCCAGAAGGCACAGACACCCCACAGCACTGACACAGTACCTGCCCCTGGGGTCCAGTCTTCTCACTGTCATTTCAGCGGGGCTCACTTAACCACCTCACTGAACACTTAATTGCACTAATCAGCAAATCACGACAGCACACGAGCTCACGTACAGTACGTATACAAGTGCAACTCGAAACATAATGTGTGTCATGGACACAGAGGCCCTGATTTCTCCTGTGTCGGTCTGCAGGGTGTGAACCTCTACATCAAGAACCTGGACGACACCATCGATGATGAGAAACTGCGCAAGGAGTTCTCTCCTTTTGGCTCCATCACCAGCGCAAAGGTCAGCTGCTGTCCAGAGAGCGAGGGAGGGTGGGGCGTGGGCAAGCAGTGGGTAGCACTAATGTGTGTGTTCATGTGCCAGGGATCGCATAGTACCTCCTGAGTGCTTTTCATGCTGAGATTATTCATCTGTCCCATTTTCCTAATTGACATGCCATTGTATGACATAACTTTGGGAGTTGGGGAATTGAAGCGATTCTGCTTCTACGCGAGGCATCAGAGGAAAGTTCTTACAGTCGTGTTTGGCAGAAAACAATTTCAGAAGCTCTGTGTTAATGGTGTCTCACTTCTTGCTCACAGCCCAGCATTTGGTCTAGCTGCTCGTTAACGGGCCTACGTAAAACTTCACTGCGGTAGGTCTTCCCCAGATCACAACACAACCGTAGGAAAGGACAGCACATTCAGGAGAGGCTGTAGGAACATGGTGGAGGACTGGACAGTGTTGATAAGAACGGAAGAGCATTGCAGTGCCAGCCTGCAGAGTGAAGGGCCATGCCCGTGCAGTAGGCGCTCCGGTCCTGATGCTGCTGCCTCCCTCTGTCTCCCCAGGTGATGCTGGAGGAAGGGAGGTCCAAGGGCTTCGGGTTCGTGTGCTTCTCCTCCCCGGAGGAGGCCACCAAGGCCGTGACAGAGATGAACGGGCGCATCGTGGGCTCCAAGCCGCTGTACGTGGCGCTGGCTCAGCGCAAGGAGGAGCGCAAGGCTCACCTCACCAACCAGTACATGCAGCGCATCGCCGGCATGAGGGCCATGCCCGCCAATGCCATCATCAACCAGTTCCAGCCCGCCGGCGGCTACTTCATGCCCGCCGTGCCACAGGTGCGGGGGAGAACGGGGGTGAAAAGAAGCGTGGGGGTGTTTGTGCCCCCCGCGAGCTGGGGAAAGGTCACGTCTGCTTTACCTGTGTGTCTTTCTTCCAGGCCCAGAACCGAGCGACGTACTACGCGCCAAATCAGCTGACACAGATGAGGCCCAACCCACGCTGGCAGCAGCAGGGGGGCCGACCACAGGGTGAGGAGCTCTGAGCCCCAGGGGGTGAGGGGTGGGCGGGAGTGAAAGAGGAAATGGACTGTCCCGTTTCTCAGAGGGGTGGTGACCATGTGAAGCTTGAATCCTTTTGTGCTGGAAGCACCAATAGATCTGCGATGCCATCGATTTTAACTGCACGTACTTTAAACAGGATAAGCAAGAGAATGCATACTGTCTGCCAGTTCACCTAATTTCCCTGCTCAAACTCTTATCATAAATACTCCTGGGTGAGCAGAGACGCAGAGAGCTCCTTCCCTTCATCTCCTCCCCCTCTGTCCTTCCCCCTGCAGGTGGCTTTCAGGCAATGCCTGGCGCCCTGCGTCAGAGCGGGCCCCGTGCCAACCTGCGGCACCTGGCGCCCGGTTCCAGCACGCAAGGCCCCCGGGGAATCCCAGCTGGGGCGCAGAGAATGGGTAAGGAAGAGGGAGGTGCAGAAAGGGAGGATTAAAACTACGGAGCTGTGTGAGGCCTAAAAAGGTCACTTGCATTTGTCAGTTGTTGTTTTCTGATGGAAAATTGAGGTCTCGGGTCAGACCTGCACTCTGGGACTGAGCTCTCCCTCTCCTGCTCTTGCTGTGTGTTTGTAGGAGGGGCTGGTCAGACCATGGGCCCCCGTCCCTCCGTGGCAGTGCCAACGCCAAGGGCCGTCCCACCCTACAAATACGCCACCAGTGTGCGCAACCCCCCGCCCCAGGTGATGCAGCCCCTCTCCCTGCAGCAGGTACGGACGGCTTCTCGGGCTCCGCTGGGGATAGACGCAGGAGGTAGTCAGCACCTACTGGTGTCGGAGGTGCCTGTCCCACACGCTCTCTCTGCCTTCCTCAGACCCAGCCGGCGGTGCACGTCCAGGGACAGGAGCCCCTCACCGCCTCGATGCTGGCCGCCGCCCCCCCACAGGAGCAGAAGCAGATGCTGGGTGATTACGAGACGCCATTGAGTGTCTTCTCACCCTCAGTGTCCTTATCGGTGCAGGAGCAGTTCCCACTTGCTGGTCGATTGGTCAGCAGCTTGGATCCAAAACAGATGTTTAGGGATAGCTTAGTACTGAGGAGGAAGAGTTTGCTGTTCTCATCTTCTCAGCTTCATTCTCAGCTTCTCATGGATGGAGGATTCCCTCACCTCTCCCTGCTTGGGAGAAGTCAATTTCCTGTCATCCTTACTCACCTCTCATTTTCAACAAAATTACCAAAACGGGATTTTGATCAAATGTTGCACTGTATGTTACTTGCCCTTGTGTCATGATGCCTTCTGTGTGGAGCATAAGTCTGTAGAACCTACTGCTAGGGCTGACCATAAATCAGAGGTAGGGTGATTTAAAACAGGTGATTCTTAGACTGGATGCTACTTTTGAACATTATAAAATAATAATAAATCAGGCGCAATAACACAAACATTAAAAAACTAGGTCTAAGGAGATCACATTTCACCCTCTTCTTCTCCTGACTCTCCTTTACTTCCTCTCTCTCAATCCAGGGGAGCGCCTGTTCCCCCTGATCCAGGCCATGCACCCCAGCCTGGCTGGCAAGATCACCGGAATGCTGCTGGAGATCGATAACTCAGAGCTGCTGCACATGCTGGAGTCCCATGAGTCCCTGCGCTCCAAGGTACGCGGCCGGCTCCACGCAGGGAAACTCAGCCGATGGATTACACTGATCATCCCAGGGGATCCCTGTACGTCTTTACCGACAGGATGGGAAAGCCTTCCGCAACCCGCCCACCTGGGTGACACACTGCAGCCCAACTGCACAGCAGGGCAGGTGGAGAAGCCAGGGACTGCTCTGCCACCTGGGGAAACAGGGAGTTTGTAGTAGGCTAGATCGTACAACTGGGATTTAACCATGGCGCTGAATCTCAGGGTCAGTGTCAGGGGCTCTTTTAAGAGTCACGTAGTTGGGACCTCGGTTTTAACATGTCATCCAATAGGACAACATCTGCTCTAGCAGAGTGTCTCCAGTCATACTGGGGCGGTGGTTTCATGAATTGTGATCCAAAGGGAAGAATCACCTGCTGGACCTCGAATCCCACATGCAGGAGCAATCTAGTTTTTCACCAGGGGTTTTCCCATTCTGGTCCTGCCAAAGCTGTAGTTTCCGAGATCAGAGGAGTTCAGGCTAGAAGGTGGCAGCATCCATTGCAGATACGTGGTCTTGAGTCTTATAAGCACTGTATTGCAATAATGACTGTTTGTCAGTGATTCAGGATCACTCATTCTTTAATAAAAGAGTCCTGGGGTCCCTTCCATGTGCTGAACGGCTGTACGAGCCCATTCCATCAAGACGGGGAAGCTGAATTGCATGCAGCCGTACAGCTGTGTGTTGTCCAGTCTTGTGTCTTGTTGTAATTGAATTATATTGCATTGCACTGCAATGACTCAGGTTGAAGAGGCCGTTGCTGTGCTCCAGGCTCACCAGGCAAAGAAGGACGCTGCGCAGAAGGTGGGGGTCATCACCACGGCTGCGACCTCCTGACGGGTAAGGGTGGCTGTGGCCGTGGAGGCTCTGCTCGGTGCCAGACTGCAGAAACCGCAACTTGGGAGGCTTCGCACCCCTCCACTGAAGAAGAGCGACAGATCAGACGTGCTTGGCTGGTTCTTTCCTACTTTATAACAGAAGCAGATATGCAATCTTTTCACTAGGCATGTGTGCACCTCCCAGTATTGCCCTGGAAGCCTTCTCTGAACAGTGCTTCCCCCTATTGGCCATCACACCTAACAGCCACACCGCTGTTCAGTCTTTGGGACATTTTCCACGTTGTCCCAAACCTGCATCCTTCAAAGCAGGGGGCATCGAAACCTGTGCAAGGGCTTTTAAAATTTCCAGCGACTGCATCTGTTATCCTGGGGCTTGCTGTGGTTTGTGCTACACTGTGACATACCATGCCTCTTACCACTCAGCTATACTTCACTCTGCTTTTGCTGTGGTACAGCATCTGATCTGATCGATACAGGAGGCAGCGGAAGATGTGCTGCGTGGTGGGGGTGGGGTGACATGTGCTTACAGAAGGGACATGGGGGGCTTTTTTCCAGGAAAGGGGAATAAAGGTTTCTTTCATTTTCCAGGCTTTTTCAAGAACTAGACCCAAAGAAGAGGGATCCAGTGGTCTTCGCTGTCGCATTTACCTGGTTCTTCCTGTAAACTGAATGCAAAAATAAAACCATACTTGAACAACTTAAAAAAAACATATAATTACAATTCTTTTAAATTATATTTTAGTAATTAAAAAATGAAATATATATTTAAATTATATAAGTACAAGCTGAAAGGGGGATTTGTTTTTAACAAATACTATACTTGAACTGTTTGTTTCTTGTGGCCAGGACTGTTTTTTTTTTTTTCTCTCCCTGGGGAAAAAAACTTTTGACTGCAGGCTTTTGAGTTGTGGTGATTTGATTGGGATGGTTGAAACCTCCGACCCCTGTAATCCCTGGATGGTGTGACTTTCTCAATAAAGGATGAAACATTGATGAACTTGCCCCTGGGTGTGTCTCTATCCTTACCCTCTCGTTCCCTTCTTGGTCGCCTCGTCTTATCCTCTTGTTAGAGGGCAACACCAGTTTTTCCACGGGAACCGTAAAATGCATCTTTTTTTAAAACAGTTTGAAGCGGACAAACAAATCCCACAGTACTGAAATTCATCCAGCGACACAACCTACTTGATGTCTTTTTAGCCGCCAACCTTCAGCGGTCATATAGGCTCAAAACAAAAACTACGGCAATTTAAAAATGGGTGTAATTTCTGCCTAACACTGAACTCGGACGCGCACAATCTCACGGATCTATACTGAACCACGTGTGGGACTTACTGCCGCACGGAACGGACATCTGAAGGAGTTGCACAGGAAAGGGCGGGGTTTATGTTGGGTCAAAGGGCACAGTGAAGATGGCGGCCGCCAAGCGTGTGCTGTATGTTGGTAAGTTGTTTAAAAAACTGCTTTTGTGAATTGTATGAAGAAATAAGAAAGTTTGAATGACATTTTACTGCTCTGTAAGATACGGCTCTTTCTTTGTCTTAGTCTTGAAGATTAGGTTTCAATAAGTGTTAATGGTTTCTTGGTGAACTCATTCCTTGATCCCCAATGCCCATCTCACCATAGTGTCTTTTGATAAACACTTTGTTTTTAATTTAAAGGATGAATTGCAAAAGCATGCCGTGCATTTAAAAAAATAGCCCTGGCTGGCAGCGGTACCTCTAGCAGATTCAAACGATGAGCGGGACAATGACGTAATTAAAGCGACAGATTACAGTTGCACTTTACTATGTTTTGTGAAAAGCTTGACCACCACATGCGTATCCCTTAAATGTCGATTGTTTTTATTCTGAATGGTTTATTTCTGTTCAGTTTTAGTCTTTTGCTGTTTGAGACGCTTGTCAGCCCCGATTTAAGTTGACATATTGGGAAAACACCGACTTGATGGTTGCACCCAGGCACTATTTGAAGTCCTTTGAGTACTCTTGTGGACTATTGTATGAGTTGATGATCACGCCCAACTTGTCTACTTCTCAGAAAGCAATATGATAGAAACAAGTGTTAGCTTAACAGACGTTTGCTTAAATTGATGTTTTGTTAAAATGATTGGTAAGTCAAGATAAAAGTGAGTGAAAGGATATAGTAAAACTGGTAAATGTTTTGAGTGGATGTATAGTTATATACTGTGTTTGAGAAGCAAAGTCTGAAACACACATTTAGTCTCACTTCTGTTCTACAACCTCCTTTTATTTCATTGATTCTCATGGAAAAAGCCCCTGTGTGCTAGCTCACATGGGCAAAAACCCTAACCTCCACGTTTACCTTGTTCTTGCGTTGTTCTACTGGGGAGCAATCCCCCTATATATCCCATTAGGTCCCTAATGCCGGCGTCACACTACGTGACTTTTCCTAGGATTTTCAGTTGTAGCCTTCATGTACACGATCGGAAGAAACTCACAGCGAGTTGTAGAGTCGCAGTGTGCGCCCGTTACCGTCAGCTGTGTAGTGTGACACCCCCAGCGACTCAGTCATAGCGCTCTTAACAGCCCCCACCACTCTCTGCAACTCGCTACGATAAAATCACACCGTTTGATTTTCTGGTAGCGAGTCGCAAGTCGTAGGGTTGGGCAGTGAGCCAGGTGTGTACTCGTGAGATAATGTGCCCATTATATTACACGTTCTAGCGCAATACTAATTTGTTTACACTATTTGTTTTAAAGGTGTTTTATATTTTTAACTGTTTTATTTTTGTAAATTCGTTCTATATTTATAAAGAAGAATGATATTTTTGAAGGGGTCTATTTGTGGAAAACAATGCCTGTGTCACCCTTGTCAGGATGTTTCCGTGCTCGTCCTCCATGTTGTTTGTTTACTTTCGCGCGGCGCTCCTCCTCCTATTCCAGTGTGCTCTACGTTGATGGGCTGCCAAAACGAGGGGACCCCACGGTACTTTTGCGGTGCAACACGAGATTTGAAACTGTGATGAAACGTCGTGAGGGAATCGTGTAATTAGTCACCCCCTGCTTTTCCTAGTCGTATAATTTGACGCCCTCTAGGACAGAAAAGGCAGCGAGATTCAGCAGCTGCAGTCGTTAAATTTGACATGCTCTCTGACTAGAAGTCCGTATAGGCCTGTAGTGTGATGCCGACGTGCGGCGGGGACCCTTTACTGACGCTTGGAGATCGCCTTGGTCACGTGTGAGTCTCCCTGTCTCGCAGGTGGCCTCGCGGAGGAGGTGGACGAGAAGGTTCTGCACGCGGCGTTCATTCCCTTTGGCGACATCACCGACATCCAGATCCCTCTGGACTATGAGACAGGTTAACACACACGCTGCGAAAAATGGTTTCCCACATGTCTTGCAGAAAACGATAGGGCCGCCAAAAATTAACTGTCCAGCCTTGGAAGTAGTCTGACAGCAGTGTTGCCATTACTAT